ACAATTTGATGTTACCTGAGCACTTGTGCCATAATACACTTGAGTGAGTATTTTCAATTTTACGTTTAGTACCACATGATTCTGTATTAAGGGTTTCATTATAGGTGGCCACAATATCAAGTAAATATTGATTATCATAAATTAAAAGTGAACCAGTTCCAACAATATCTTAATTAAACAATATCAAGTAAATACTGATTATCATAAATCAAAAGTGAACCAGTTCCAACAATATCTTAATTAAAAGACAAACTGAACTTATTGTTTTCAAATGAACACAAATAACCTAATTTGTCCAAATAAGAAACTGAAACCAAATTTCGTCTAAATGACGGCATAACAAAAGTGTCTTTCAAATCCAAATAAAAAATTAGTACTTAATAACAATTTAAAATGCCCTATAGCTTCCACCTCTACCAATTTGCCATCTCCAACATAAATCCATCTTTCAGAATCAATTGGCTTCCGGTAGTTTAGGCAACCCTTTCTTTTCACGCCAAACATGATATTTAGCACATTTCTTCTTTACGTGTCCAGTCTTATTGCAAAAGAAACATTTGTTTTCTTGAGTTTGTTTCTTTTAATCTGGACCCTTAACACCTTCTAACAGTTGTAAGATACCTTAAATTGATTAAACGTTGCAGGAAGAGAAATCAACACCAAATGAATGAGCAAGTCTTCTGAGAGTTCAAGCTTTAGTGCCTTGAGTTTAAAAACAATATTAGGCATGCTCATAATGTACTCCCTGATATTTCCTTTGCCTTAATATTTCATGGAGATCAAGTTCTGAAGAAGAGTGCTTGCCTCCACCTTATCGCTTTTTGCAAAGCGCTGCTCAATTTCAGCAAGGAATTCTTTGGCACTTGTGATGTTTTCGAAACGAGTGCTCCTAAACACCTCCGGGATGCCACGCTTAATGATCATTAGACTCATGCGATTTGAGCGATCCCACTTCTCATAATCTCTTTTACGTTCGGAGGTACTTGAATCCGTAGGAGTAGGGGGTTGCTCGAGTCCTTAATGCAAGATCCATATCCATGCAACCAAGAACAATATCAATGTTCTCTTTCCAGTCCTTAAAATTTGTTCCATTGAGGACCGAAACATAATTTAAATTGGCAGATACAGAAACAATTGTAGTTAAATTTAGAACACGAGAAATAAACTAATTATGCTCACATTATATAAAAAATAAATAATATATATTCAAATAGTGGTTTAACCCATCTCAAGACACCCAATGCACCATCAATATCAAGTCTTTGGACAAGTAATATTAACTGCTAGAGGTATCTTGTTGTAATAATCAAACATTGATAATAAAGCACGTCCAACAACAAACCAGGCTTTGGATTGATTTATCATCGACAAAGCAAATCCTTATAATTATCACATGTTTATCATTACAAGTGTATATGCAATTCGGCAAACTATTAATCTTCCTTTGGGCCGACTAATACTCGCATGAATATACACAAACACTAACATTCAATATTTTTTATGAACTGCCCAATTCAAGAGAAGTTACTTTGGTGACTTCTTGACTCAATTTGCTCACAAAAAATATTAAACTACCAAAAATTGAATATTTTATTTATATAACAAAACCAAATATTTAATATTTGCAAACTAATTCAAAAGAGAATTATCTCATCAGAATTCTACTAAGGATGAACACCTCATTTGAATAAATCAAAGGATGAAAAAAGGCCTCATTTTCCACCAATACATAAAGGATGAATATCTCCCTAAAATCACACTAGGGATGAAACAAAGATAGTTCTGAGTCTCTTTAGCATACTGCTCTAAACCCTAAAAGGGGATTAAACAATAATCACTCAAACCCTAATTTAACATCAAATTTTCCTAAAAATAAGAACGAGTCACACCTGTGGAAACATTCACCATTTACCTAATATTCTCTGTGTTGGGAACTCCACAAACACCACCCCCAATTCCAAACCCATAAAATTAAATAAAAACAAAAGATTTAAAAAAGAACAAAGAACCCAATACAAGAAAGATTGAAATTTGAAACATTGTTTCTTTTTCAAGTAAAACTTGAAACTTAAACCGAAATAAAAGGGAAAACCGAAGAAGAAGAAGAATCCATAGCTTCCTCCATGATTCCATCGCAAGCGAGAATCAGATTGGGGATATTACCCCCAAATTTAAATTTTAGGATTTATGAAAATTAGAGATTATTCTCCACTTAGGGTTCATAAAATTGGGTAATTTGAATTGTTTAAAACAAAATTAATCCTAATTTTCATAATTAGGGTTCTATAAATTAAACAGACATGAATCAAATATGGGCGGCTCTGATACCAATTGTTGGAAAAACAATAATAATAATAATAATAATCCTGATTTTGATTCTAACGATCAAACATAAACATAATCCCATACTGATAAACATGTTGTAAACTGAATACGAAAGCGTACCTAAATGCGAAAGCGTACCTGAATTAGCCATAACGATGATGTCTTTGTAGAACACTATATTGATCTTATGGTCTTCCACCTGAAGAACACCTGTATTTCCCTCTTGATTTTCTCTCTTGATGGGGATAGAAAGAAAGGAACGGGACTGATTCTGTGTGTGTGCTCCCAGAAGGGGACCATGACCCTTTAGATAACCAGAATTAGGTTAATTACTTAAGTTTTAGTATTTCCAATTTGGCCCCTCATCAAATTAGAAATTGCTCTATGATCTCTACACAATTTTATTTTCATGACATATGCCTTTAGCCAAAACTTTAATTTAGTCAGATCACTTTATTATTTGGCTTAATAAATAATGACCTTAACACATTTAAATATGTATCATATATATACATGACCCAAAATTTGCCAACATCAGATGAACATTACACTACAAGTACACTTCAAGACAACAAAGATTTAGAAGGGCTAATCGACATACAAAACGCAAACCCAACATTGGTCGGAACTAAGATATGTACAACCTACGATCGAGGTAATCTTTTTGTTCCTAACCAATACCAAGATCAACGCCATCACTCACAAACACAACCCACAACTCAAACATTTGATTTGAACAACACCTATTTAGGGCAATCAGAAGTTGATGTACAATCATACTGCCAACTTCTAATTGGTCCATCTATATCAAATATTTTTCCCTCCCTCACCAATGATATCACAACACCATTATCTTCTTTTTTACCCAAAAATGAGACTTTAAGATTTTCTTCAGCATCTTTAGAACCAGTTAGAAGCAGGTTGTATGATTGTACATCAGTTTTCCATTGCCCTAAATAGGTGTTGTTCAAATCAAATGTTTGAGTTGTGGGTTGTGTTTGTGAGTGATGATGTTGATCTTGGTATTGGTTAGGAATAGAAATATTACCTCGATAGTAGGTTGTACATATCTCAGTTTCGGTCAATGTTAGGTTTGCGTTTTGTATTTCGATTAACTCTTCTAAATCTTTGTCGCCTTGAAGCGTACTTGCAGTGTAATACGCATCTGAGCCATAAACTCGGATGGGGTATCTGTACGTAATGGTTGAAAGTTATTCATGGGGAGATCAACCACATTTTTGTAGAACCGTTTATTTGAAATGCTCAAATGTCATTCATTTATGAATTCACATCATGATAACATTGTTACTACGAAATAAAACCTCCGTTTGAGGGAAAATCACAATGTCATCATCATCAAAGATAATTGCTCGAATGAAAGAATCCATATGAAAGAAAAAATAATAAAAATGATGAAAGTGTAAAAAGGCTAGAGAGGAGATAAAATAAATTTGAACTTATGAGGAATTGGTGTGGGGAATGATGGTAAGATATGAGCAATTGGTGTGAGAAGTGATGGTAAAGTAGACTTTATATAGTAATGAGCGACATGAAAGTTAAGTAGTCATGTGAGTGGTAGGAGAATTTAGGTAGACATGTGAGTGATATAAGAGTTAAGTGATCATGCGAATGGTAAGTAAATTTAGATAGACATGTGAGTGACATGAGAGTTAGATAGTCATGTGAGTGGTAAGAGAGATTTTAAGCATGTGAGTGACAAAAGAATTAGGTGGTCATGCGAATGGTAGATAAATTTAAATATAAAATTATATGTATTTATTAAATATCTTATTATATACATATAAATAAATATATATATATATATATATATATTATAAATCCATATTTATTAAATTTATTTAAATATTAAATCTATAATATTAAATTTATTTGTATTTTTTTAATATTGTAATCTCTCTCTCTCTCTATATATATATATATATTTATTTATTTATAAAAGTATATATAAATATATTAAACATATAATTATACAATATATTTTTATTATATATAAAAGTATATATTTATATTTATTATATATTATATTTAATAAAGTTACAATGTATATAAGTATGTTTTTATCATACTTATAAAAATATATATAAATATATTAAAATATAATAAAAATATTTATATATAATTTTATATTAAAATTATTCTATATTATATTAATAAAAATGTATTTATCATATTTCTATAAAAAAATATTATTTTTATTTACTAAAGTTATTTTATATTAAAAATATATTTAAATAATATATATAATTTATTTATATAAAAATGTTATCTAAAAAATATAATATTTTTATTAAATTTTATTATATTTATAAAAAAATATTTAAATATTATATATATATATATATTAAATATATTTGTATTTACTATATTTATAAAAATATATTAATAATATAATTATATAAATATATTTGTATGATATATAAAAAAATATTTATATTGATTTGATATAATTATATAAATAAAAATTTAAAAATATATATATATTTTTTTAATATTTATTTAAAAAAAGTATTAAAAATATATGTCAAAATTTGGCTTGTAAAATACTAAACTTTTTATCAAAAGTGTGTTAATGGTGTAAATTTTACCTATAGTATGCTATTCAAATAATGCTACGTTTTGACCATTATTTATTTAAGTCTTAACGTCTGCAGCTTATGGCGGGGGACTATACGATATCCGAAGAAAAGATCTTGTCCCATAATCAAACAACATAATATAATAAGTAGTCATCTAACTTATTTTTAGTCTTAATATTTATGATTTGAGACTGATAAATTATATAATATCTAAATAAATATTCTCTTCAACAGAACGGACCTCCATTGTTTACACTTAAATTTATGATTTATTATTGTAAATATTATATAATAAAAATCAAATTATTTAATGAATAATATAATAACAAAGTAAAAATCTATAACTCAACAACCCATTAAAAAAAACTGAAAATTAAATTATAATAACTTGAACCACATTTTTCTTGAATCATAGTTAATCAAAGATAAAAAAAATTGTGAACAAAACCATAAAACTTAGAGTGACCATATATCATGAACGATTAGTTTCGATAGCTGTACTTTGTTATTAACATTCTCAAATAGAAATTATTTGCTGCATATTTTTTTTATATATTGATTTTTAATTTTTATTATAAAAAATAATTTTGAAATTTCTTAAATTTATATGTTCGTATTTACATTAAACCTTTTTTTATAAAATTTATAATTATTTTTATAATAAACATTTTTCCAACAACTCCGTTTAATAATATAATATAATATTAATTTTTAATTATTTTTATTTTGATTGTTTCTAGGATTATAATAATAATAATAAATTAAGTTGTCTAATGGATATTTGTTATATCCTTTGAACAATCTTATTCTTCTAATAAGGTGGAGTGATAGTACCATTTTAAAATTTCGAAAACATATAAGAATTTGAAATTCAAGAAAAATTAATAAGTAGGATTAGGTTTTAAAGTAAACAGAGGCTTGCAAGGTTTAGAGTTTGTGCACTGAGAAAGAAACTAAGGGAGTGTTCCGGCGACATCGAGGAGTCATCTCCGTCCACCTTTGACATTCAGAGGAAGCTCGTGAAGATCGGTTTCACCGCCGCTTCCTCCGGCACGGTTCAGTCCTATTTCTCTCCAATTTCCCCTTCCTCTGCCGTTGGTACCACTCATTTTTCTTCTGTATGCATCCAACTCAGTTATTTTCTATAGAGTTTCTATGCAGCAATGCCGTTTTAGATTTGGACTCGGCGTTGATCGCGTCTGTTACATTCAGTCCTCCGTGTGTTTTTTGTTTTTATCTTGAATGATTGGAGCTTTTGGTTCGGTTTTGAGAATTCGTGTGATCAAGAATTGGAGAGAAAATGTGAATGGAATTGGAGTGTACATTCCCGCGTTTTGCGTGTTGCGGATTTGATTCTAATAGTCGTTAGATTGTTTGATACGTTGACATTTACGATCGAATGCTTATATCCCTACAGTAGAAGGAAACGCCGGTTTTTTAATCCAAAATTAAGGGCCTGTCAAATCCAATCCATAACATATTTTTCCACCCTGTTTCTGGTGTGTTAAAACAAGGCTGTTGTGTACTCCTAATTGTTTTTAAACTGAGTTGCTTGGGTGACTTGGCTTGGCTTGGCTTTAGCATTCGAGGGTTTGTTCTAACAACGATATTGGAGTTTGATGAGTTTTGCCTGTCTTATGTTGGGTCTTTCCTTTGGAGGGACTACCATTAGTAGATTCTCATAAATCAAATCCTAGTCAAGAATATGACTCTATTCTCACTCGTATACCGTAAACCCAAAATCTTAAGCTATTAACATATAGTTCTTTCATATTTATAATTTACTCAATTTTTTGGTCTTCATCCAACTTAAAATTTTAACTCACTTAAAATTTTTAACTCATATTTGAATTGATTCCCTTTCACATTCTTAGACTTTCTCCTTAAGCAAAAATATTTACTAACCTTATTTACTTGTACCTCTCATTTTTCGATACAAAGAACTATTATATTCTTATACTCGAAAGAACTATTATATTCTTATACTAAAATAAACCATGGATTATGATAGTACACTAACAACAGATAAATTTTTACAAATAAAATTTAAATCAATCATATAAAAAAATAATATGACATCATTCTTAACCCAACAATTTAAATTTATGAAATATTTGAAATTACTCAACTTCCTATTTTTATCTAAGGACTTGATCCCATACTTGAATTCCGAACATATTATTACGTAGGTTGGTAGATCTAAATGAGTGAACTTTTAGCGATCTTTTTGGTGGGTTTTATTTTGGAAAGGAGACATTTGTTTTTGAGATAGGACGGTGGGGTAAGAACTTGGTGGTTCTAAGCATTTCTATGAACATGATAAGCAAGACTACGGTGTTGCGTTGAATTCTTATGTTAATTGGGGGAAGGCCTTCTTCCTTCTTGGCTTATTCTACATTTCTATTAAACTTCAAGCGCCAGATTGATCACTAACCAGCTTGTGTTACCGTGGTTAATTGTTTTTCTCAGGTAGTTGTGGGCGGAGCAGTATTTATTGCAGGTGGTGTAGCTGCCGCAGCTGCTCCGCAGAAGGTGCTGGAGAAGCTCCCCGGCTGCAGAGAAGAAAGAAGAAAAAGTTGAGGACGAGGAAGAAGACGAGGATTTGGGTCTGTCACTCTTTGCTTAACGTTTTCTAGTTTCTTTATTATTTTTCTAATAATTATATAGTCATTTGACATTTGGGTGAGTAAATTATATTAATAAACTTTTTCAAGTTTCATGAAATTATATATTTTTTCTGTATATTGTTTTTATACTAACTCGTTTAATTATTTAAAAAATATATTATATTATTTTTTTCCAGATATTGTTTAAAGATATTAAAGCAAATTTTCTTATAAGAAATATTGTTGTAGAGGTACTAGAAAGTTTGTATAATATATTAATGACAAGTTTAATGTTTTTTTTTTCGTGATTAAAAATAAATCAATCCAATAACATCATTACATTAACCTGTTCCGGCATACTTTAGTTAATTAATGAAAGAGACTGTTGATGTAAACTTTGGTTCTAGTTTCCTTTCCTTTTGTGTCGTGGTTTACAACTATATTCGAATGGTCTGTGTTAGTAAAGAGTTATTATTGTAAGAAATATATTATAGGTTTAGGTTTAGTTTTAATTTATTTTTGGGTTGTGATTTTTTTTTTTTAAATTCACATGTCTTTAATCTTAGTCTAAATTTGTATAACTTGATTTGAATATATATATTTTTAAACTTTTTGTTTATCTAAAACATTAAATTTCACCTAAAACCCGCTTTAAGTTTGTTTTAAAAAATTATCAATTCCTCATTAAAAATTTAGTTTATACATACTTAAAAGCATTTTATTCATCATAAACTTTCAAATAATTATAGTAATTCCAGAATTTAGCAAAAAAGAAATATAATTAAAGAAACTAAAAATGTAATTTAAAGAAAGTTACACTTTACGTTTTTTTGCTGTCTAAATTCCACGTTTAAATAATATTTTTATATTTTAAAAAAAGTGAACAACTAAATTTTTCTAAAAAATTGTGAAATTTGGGGGCTTTTATTTCTCTTTTCTTTTTCTTTTTATCTCTTTTTAAGTTGCATGAGATAAATTGCTACCTTTACAAGAAAAATATTAAATATAATTTTAAAGTTACTATTAAGTAAAAGAAAACTTGAACTAATAAGTACGGGTGTGGGCAACATTATATATAAAGGACAATAATTTGAAGTTGATGCTGCGAAAGATGGCATTAGCATAAACAAATAATCACTGAAAAAGGTTGAATTTTGTTTTTGGTGCCCCCATTGTGCACATGATAATCTAAAATAAAATGGGAGATGATTGTGTTTTTTAAAAAGTGATGTTACCATTGTATTATCCACTTAAAAGCTATAAATAAATAAACACCCAGATAGTTTTGCCTTTTTTTTTAGTAAAAGTACGTTGAAATTTTACTCAAAGAATTGACGAAAGCCATTACATCAGCAAGATTAAGAGGATTAATTAAGCTAAAGGCCAATTTTGCTAAAGAATAAGATATTTTATTGCCAACTCTTGGAGTGAAAAGAATAAAAAATTTAGCAACTAGGAAATTGAGATAGATAGGTAGAGAGACTTGGACTAAACCCTAGAAGGCTTTTGGTTCCAAACATGTTTCATGCAAAGTGACATCTAAATAGTTTTGTTTTAAGTAGGTGAGAGTGGTATACTCCAAACACTACCTCCAAACATAATCAAAGATTTAATCAATAAACCTTTTAAATTTTGTGTCTTCTTTTATTGAAGTGTTGATGAAGTTATAGTTAAAGTAAAATAATGCAATGATAAATATAAGCTTAAAGAGGGATCTTTAGAATGTCACAAATGAAAAGAATTTGATTCTCTCTTGCTATCTCTAAACCCTCATCCTCTCTCACCTTTTTCTTCTTCTTTCTCTCTTCACTTCCGGTTCCTATATTTTCTCCCTCTCATATGCAACAATGGTAGATAAATAAATAAATTTTAAATTGAAAAAAAAAAAAAAAGGTTTCTTCAACGGCAATGAGAACCACCACCTTATTCACCCCATCTTCTTCTTATTCTTCTTCTTCGTTGAATTCCCCCTTTTTCCCAAAACCTAACATCTTCACTCCTTCAAAATCCAACGCCATAAACTTCCTCTGCACCAAACCCAAACTCGGATCCAACGTCGCCGACAAGCTCAACAACCTCGCCACCGAATTCACCTCTCTCTCCCAACCCATCGACCGCGTCAAACGCCTTCTCCACTACGCCTCCCTCCTCCCGCCCTTCCTTGACGCCGACCGGGTTCCGGCCAACCGCGTCGGCGGCTGCGCCACCCAGGTCTGGGTGGTGGCGGAGCTGGACGAGAGGCGGAGGATGCGGTTCCGCGCCGACAGCGACTCCGAGATTTCGAAAGGATTCTGCTGGTGTCTGGTCTGGATGCTCGACGGCGCGAAACCCGAGGAGGTACTCATGGTCGACAGGGAAGATTTGGCCGACATCAATGTCGGATTGGGGATGAGTCTCAAGGCACACTCGCGGACCAACACGTGGCACAACGTTCTGTTCACCATGCAAACTGCGGCTAAAGATTTGCTCTGAAATCCTCTTTGTCCCCTCTTCACACAAAAAAATTGTAACAATGTTTATTCATTTTCTCTTGAAGTTTTCTTGGTTTAGTCGTATTTGGATTCAAATTTCATTCTATTGGGATATGGCTACACATAATCCTTGTTCCTTGCTGGTGCACCTTTTTTTCAAATCTCGTTTTGTTAAGTTGATAGTTTCTGTTGTTTCTCATTATGATATACGTGTAGTGATGAAAACAAATAGGTAGGTGGTGATATAAATAAATATAGTGATTTTTTGTAGTAACAGAGATATTCCGTGACAGACTTTTTCTTAAAACATTGATGATAACAAGGGGAAGGAGAATTCCTGGAATGTTATTACGATTTTGACAGGTTCATCAATGGTTAATGGTTGGTGAAGACGAGACATGCATCTGGCCTTTGATATTGAGGTATTTTATTTATTTACTCTTCCTTTTTTTATTATTTATTTTCTTTCCGCCACTCCTTTGTCTTTTGGTGTGAATACACATCTTCCTAATGCATATGGCCAAAACTTATTTTTACATTACTTGAGAGTCTGTGATGTGACCCCAGGTTTTAAGGTATTAAGGCATGTTATGATGTTGTAACTTACAAATGACAAAACTTGTATCAAATTTATCTGTGTGATAAACATCTCATTAATTATATCACTAAATTTTGTCCACTGGGAAATGCCTTAGGACATACATGTAAAGTTTCTGTTGTCTTTTGTGAACTGTTTGAGAGTAGGTTTTGACAAAAAAAATTTGCTGCTGCCGCTGGTTTCTATTCATCTGTGGTGGTTTTTTTACAGTACTTTCTAGGTCACGGTTGCATCGTTTCTCAGAAATTATTAGGTAAATGTTAATAGTAGATTCTTGTTAATATTAGAAACTGTCTTGGATAATTTTATTTTTTTATCACTTTAAAAATATAAAGTTGTTTATTTTTTAATAAAACATTAGACAAATACATAGAAAACTAAAAATATGCTTATTTTGTAATTTAGAAAAACAAATACAAATTAACTGACCCATAGTAAGTACCGATGATGTTTTTTCTTCGTACAACAACAGCAAAAAAGTGGACACGGATCTGGGGCATGGATGGATCAGGTGTTGTGTGGTCAAATTTGGATTATGATCTTATTATCTTATTATCTTATTCTTACATAGAGTTTAGCAGTAGAAGTGCGGAAGATAAACCTGTGGAAAATAATTAATTAGGAGTTCCTCTCCCAAAATAGATTTAGCATTGTTCTATATGATATTTACAACACAAGAATTTTATACATATTGACTTTGGAAACTGCGTGCTTGAATTAATATTGTTTTTTTTTTGTTATGTGTCGCATATTTTAATAGTCAACGTTAATCTAATTTTATATACATCCTCCAATTGATGATATATTTTAAAAATAAATTTGTGATAAATTAAAATTTAAAGTGATAATATTTTGAATATGTCAATTAATTACCAACATATTCTTATTTTTAGATAAAATATTAATTATATATATACTTTTATATTGTAACAAATTAAATTTTAAAAATAAAAAATACTTCAAATGGTATAACAACGACAGCATGAAAACAGTTTTTGTACAAAAATTTAGATTTTGTTATTTTTGACAAATGTCTTTAAAAATATTAATTTAAAAAAAATAGTTATTTTTTATATTTAATTAAATTTAAGATAAATGATATTTTAGTTTCTTAATATATAAATTAGTGATTAATCTAGTTTTTATGGAGACAAAAATTTTATTCTCGAAATATGTAAAAAATTGTGATAATTATATATCTATATACTTTTTTTCTTTCTTTCTAGGTATTCTGAAAGTATTTATTATTAAATTGTAATTGTTGTCTAGTTCTAGAGGAAAACATTATTGCAGCACCTTTTTACAAAAAATACAGAATAAATAGAACGACTCCACTGGGGATCGAACCCAGAATCTCTGGTTCCGTAGACCAGCGCCTTATCCATTGGGCCATGGAGTCCAGATGAAATTAGTTAACCATATAAATTTTAAATTACCATATAATGTAAAATGTTTATTATTTTCTTATAATTTTCATTAAAATTTATAGTTAAAAGGATGAAATAATTGCAATATTAATATTTATTTATGATGGGTAAAAAAGAAATGACACTGGTGAGTCATGAAATTGATGTGAAGTGGGAAGGCTGCATTAGGGGCCTATAACAGCGCGTAATTTCTTTGACTCTTCTTATTTCATTATTTCTTCCTTGACTGCACTCTTCAAAATTCATTTCAAAATTGAATCTTAATTATGGTATTACTATTATGCCTAACAATATAACTTATTTGGATTTTTGGTCCTTCCCTACTATTTTAGACCATTCAAAAGAATCTGTACCAAAAATTATAATGGAACCACAAAAGGTACATGTGTTATTAGATTCTGAAATGTGTTTAGGGTTTACATAGTAACTGACAAACAAATGAAGAACCAAGACACATTAATCAAACATTGGTGTCGTGGTTGCGTCTTAGCTTTAAGATGTTGCCTTGGTAGCTGTTTTGATGTGCTAAGGTTACCACCAAAAGACACACTCTCAACACACATACCAAACAAAAGCAATGTTTTTGTGAGAAGAAAGACAAATGGTGGATTTGTCTTCTCTTTTCATCACTTTCCGTTGCTGTCTTTGAAATCATCACTTATCACCATGCAAAAATAACAAAATATCAAACTAAATTTCGCTAATTATTTCTTACCTTCCATAAAATTATATAAACACTATTAATCTCTTATACTTCTTTTTTAATTATTTAAAAAATGTTATAACACTTCTTTTTTTATCCTACGTTGTTTTATATTTAGTTTAATATATGTAAAAATTAAAGTTATTCAAATAGTTTTTATTTTAACGTCATCATATATTTACATATTTCATTTAATCTCACATCTAATCAAACACGTATTAATTCTTTCAAGTATTTAACTACAACGTGTATATTTATAAATTATAGTATAACTTATTTTAATATATTTATTTAGTTTTTTATTTAACAATTTCCTCTTTCTCAATCTAAATATTATGTAAAATTTATAATTTTCCTAAATAATATATAATAATGTATTTTTCTAAATTATAAAATAATATTACCCATAAGCTGTCCTAATTATTACCATATTCATAATGAATATTATCATTATTTTAAAACATGCCATTTTTACTATAAATAACATTTTATAAAAACAATAGGAAAAAATTATTTAACCTATAATCATGATAAAAATAAATGTTAAAATTTAAATTTAAACACATAATAAATGAAAAGAAATGGCATGTCATATAATGCAATAAATTGATAAGTCACAATGAATTTAAATGCATAATAATACTTGGAAATATGTAACGATTATGTGACAAATTATAGCATATCAACATAGAAAATAAAATTGATTATTACTCTAAATTAATTAATTACAATTAGAAAATTGATCATACAAATATATTTAATTGCGTAAATAATATAATTGTCAAAATATTTTTATTTGGAGGGAAGAAGTATATATATATTATTGTAAAAACTACATTCATTTATATAAAATAATTTCTGTCTAAACTTCTTTACTTTTACTAATATATATACAAAGATAAAGACAAATATATCAATAAATTTTACATACAACAAATAAAAATTATATCAATTATTTCATGTATTTTTAATCATTCAACTAAACCATATATATCTCTCATAATTATGTTAATTAGTCAGATTCATTTTTCTTAATAATAGTAAATATTACATGAATAAAAAATAAGTAAAATTTTTAACTACTTTTACGCAAAACAGAGTGAACGTGGTATAATCAGGTAACAAAATATTTTGTATACCAATATTATTAGTATATAATTGATTCTAAGTAATTGTTTTGACTTTGAATACATTTGTAAATTTTATTTTACACATGTTATCGATTTTCCAAATATTTGCATATATTTAGTATTTTTTAAAGTTACTCGGAATATTTTGATAACGTTTTTAATTGTTATTATTAAAAAATAATAACATTTTAATTGTAACTATCTTTTGTAACGTTTTTAAGTATTTTTCAAACGAAATTTTCCATAAATAAAAATAACATTGTATTACAATATAAATTATTTATCATAAATTTAAAATATAATAAATATAAAAATATTTATTCGTTAAAAAATTTACATTAGTTATACTGAATAAATATTTATTCAGAAGAATGCACACTCTAAAATAATTTATCACATATATACATTAAATGTGAAATTACGAAATTTATTACAAATTTTGATAACAAATTATTTATACGATAGTAACTAATAAATAATAATATCTAAACAACACTACAAACATTATCTTAAAAAAAAAAAACATTCTCTAATTTTTAAACATTGATAACATAAAAAAAAAAAAAAAAAGTGCACTCTGGTCTTTGCATTTGTTTAGTTTAGTCACAACACATGGCAGTCCCTATGAAACAGAAACACCTCATCAAATTCATTCATTCGACCTAAATCTTCACCTTAATCAATTAACCAAACACCACCCCCATAAATACCATCACTTTTTTTTTTTATGTGGTACCACTGTCGTATCTTTTCACCAACAGCTTACCTCACAAATCATTCTGATTTTATTTGATTTGAAATTTCATACAATCCTTAATCACAATTTTTCTTCTCTTTCTCTCCCTCTACAAAGATTAATTTCTATCATCCATTAAAGTAGAAGAAGAGAAAGGGAATTCAAAACCCAAAACCCCCAAAAAAAAAAAAAAAGGTACAGAACAGAGGACCATGTCCCTCCATGCTGTTTAAACTCTAAGGATCTTGTTTGGTAGTGCTAGAAACCCAAACCAGAGAGAGAGGGAAGAAGATTCCATTGTTCATTTATTTCTTTATACGTGTCTGCCGCGGAAAAATTCATTTTTTCTTCCTTCTATAGCGTCCACGTTTGTTTTCGATCATCATCGTCAAACTCCTCCCACTTGGGGTGTTTCTTTTTTTGCACCAGAAAAGCTTCCAAATTTGCTCAGATCTTCGTCTTGCTCATCCTGTTCCTGGTAAGTTTTTATTTTCTCTTATTTATGGTCTTTGCTGTGCAGAATCGATGAACTTAAGTTGGAAGCTTCAATTAGTAGGATTGAATTTCCTGAAAACATGATCCCATTTAACGTTTATCCCCCTTTTCCCTTCTTTTCTGAAAGAAAGATTAAAAAGAATGATATATTTAGGATAATGGGTAATAGAGCTTCAGTTTAGATATGAAGATGTTGCAAAATGATTTATGAATTCAGTTTACGTTGACAGGGACAATCATTACGTCTTTATCACGCTGGAGAATCGTGTTTGTTTAAAAGTTTTTAATTAGTTTCCTCAAGAGAGGTTTTTGCTGTAAATCCTTACGTTAATAAAAAATAAAATGATTCAGATATAGTAAGTTTTATATTTTTCTCTTTCCTTTTTCCTTCTTTCCTTATATCTGGAAGTATTAATGGCAGTTTCTATGTTTACATAGTAAGTTTGGGGGCATTATCCTCTTTATTGGTCTGTGTAATCCGTACCGTATCATCTTCTGTCAAAGAGATCACATGAGTTGTCTAACCTAACTGAGTTAATTTCGGAGGTTATTGAGGAAAAGGCACATGTTTTTCTTGCTTATGGTTCATATAACCCGGAGTCTTTCTTCGATGCCTTTTAGCTAAATTTGGTACCTTTGCTTTTTGGCAACTTCCAGCACACTAACCCACAGTGCCTTGTGTAGAGGTGCTCTTGCTTCCATACCTGCTATTTAATGGTGCTATGATAAGTTGCCATGCTTCTTGGGTTGTGGAACAACTTCATGAATAGAAGTAAAGTAATATTACTTGTGAGTGCCACTAGTGTGTTGGGGATTGGAGGTGATATTGCATAATTGTATTCCAAATAATAGAACCTTTTTTCTCTCATTAAACAATTATCTCTTGTGTTCTTTTGAAATTAGAATTATTATCTGGTTCTGAATTTTTTATGTTTCTTGTTCTTTCTTCTTTGTTCCTTTAGCAGGGTTTCTATTATTTTAATTTAACAAGCGTAGCTGTTTCTTATACGGAGGATGCTTGCCAATTGATTAACAGTGAAGAATAGCTCCTACATATAGTTTTATGAGCAAACATTCACAGAAGTTCCAACATAAATGGGGATCATCACTCGCAGGTCTAATAATTTGTGATAGCTAACTTTTTTTTTCTCACAATAAATTTTGTGGATTCAAGTTACTGTCATCAACTTCCTTCAATTAACATTGGACATTTCCATTTCATTGGCTGCAGTTCTGCTGGTAGAAAACCAAGTGAAATTATGAGGTTTTTTGTGACAACTTTTATTGGTATAGTTTTCGGATTCTTTATAGGAGTATCAGTTCCAACATTGTCAATAACAAAGGTGCAGACTGAGTATCTCCTTCCTCTCCTCTTTATGGCATACTTTGTGCAGAAGTAAATTTTTGTGAATGGTTTCATGTTGTTGGACTTGATAATGGTATGCTAACAGTACTTAATAATTTGCAGTTGAATCTCCCATCTGGCCTGCTTCCCTCCATTGATCTTACGTACATTGGAGACAGATATACAGGTCGCCAGGCATGGGCTTTTATGAATAATAGTCACAAAAGAAGTTCATCGCAAGTTCAACCATTAAATGATACATCAAAGGTACACACTGTATCCTATCGCCATTATTAAGGCATTTTAAGCCACTGGATTTGTGGGGATTCTAGGTAGTTAATGATCCATGAGTTTATAGTGTCACTTTCATGTTTTTGTTCACAAATACACAATTCATAAGAGCTTCCCACTTCCAAGAATGATTTTATTTTATATAAGCTTGGGATGGCTACTTAGAGAGTCCGTATATTATTGGTCAATCACTTGCTCCTTATTTTCTTGCTTCAATTCAGATTTGGGTTCCATCAAATCCAAGAGGTGCAGAAAGATTACCTCCCGGCATTGTTGAAGCTGAGTCGGACCTTTATTTGCGGAGATTGTGGGGTAAGCCCAGTGAGGTGTGTATCCTAACCTTGTCCCTTTCGTTGTGCATTAAAATGTCGAAGCTAAATTTTATATCAACGCCTCATTTAAGTGCTAGTAAAAAAGACTGGAAAAAAGAAGTTCTTCATATGTTTGGCCAGATTATTTGCTTGCTTGTATTGAAGAAAACAAACGACTATTAAGTGGACAGAGCTTTTAACTAAGTTAACACTTGCAGGATCTAACGTCCAGGCCAAATTACCTTGTGACCTTCACTGTTGGCTATGAGCAGAAAAATAATATTGATGCAGCTGTGAAAAAGGTTTTAATCAACCCATTCCTCTCTCTATGTTTGGCTATACTTCCTTGTTTGTCTTTTGACTAAAAATTTGCTGGAACAGTTTTCAGGGAATTTCACTATCCTTCTATTTCACTATGATGGCAGAACAACTGAGTGGGACGAGTTTGAATGGTCAAAGCGGGCTATTCATGTGAGTGCTCGCAAACAGACCAAATGGTATGGAGCTAAGCTGTTCATTATTTTTCAGATGGTTAATTTTTGTTGTGATTTTTTCAGTAATAGTGTTTATTGCCAACCGAATTTTATTCATGCTACCATATTGAAAATTTTAAACCTTTTTTAGGTGGTATGCCAAGCGGTTTCTGCATCCTGACATTGTGGCACCATACGACTATATATTCATATGGGATGAAGACCTGGGTGTCGAGCATTTTGATGCAGAGGAGTGAGTATTCGATTATGAAAAGGATATTTTTTTAAGAAATTTTATTTTATTATTAATCAAAGGTTCATGTGCCTATTATTTCATTTGCAGGTACTTAAAACTGGTGAGGAAGCACGGCTTGGAGATTTCACAGCCTGGTTTGGAACCTAATAAAGCCTTGACATGGCAAATGACAAAAAGAAGAGGTGATCGCGAAGTTCACAAGTAAGAATGATTGGATTACCACACCACTTTTCTAGTTCTTGTTATTACTTCAAATAATATGCTTTAACTGCTTATTTTCTTGTATTTCTATCAGAGTGACACAGGAGAAACCAGGATGGTGTTCTGACCCTTATTTGCCTCCTTGTGCAGCGTAAGTAACTGCTGATGTATTGTCATTACATTATCTTTTCTACTGTCCTGTATATCTAATTCTATTGTCACTGTTACACGAATGCAGATTTGTTGAAATTATGGCTCCAGTGTTCTCGCGTGATGCATGGCGCTGTGTGTGGCATATGATTCAGGTTGACTGGTTTATCCTTAAGTCTTGATTGTTTTAAAAGATGCCCCTTGACTAGTTGTTGTTCTATGCAACCTTGACTAGTTGCTTAATGTTTCTTTAACCATTTTGTAAAATTATGCTTGTACCACTTGACATTGCAGAATGACTTGGTCCACGGGTGGGGTCTTGACTTTGCTCTTAGAAGATGTGTGGAGGTGAGTCCATTCTCACATTTTCTCAAGTTATCGAATTGGTTTGACCTTAGGATAAGCACAGGCAATGAGAAGAGAAAACTGGTAAATAAAAATGCTATCCATACTTGATGCTATGGAGCTTTAAAATATTATCCTTTTTCTGATATAGCCTGCACATGAGAAGATTGGAGTTGTTGATTCTCAGTGGATTGTTCACCAAGGTCTTCCCTCTCTAGGGAACCAGGTATTTTTCTTTGCCATGATTACACTAAGCTAAACAAATTTCACCCAAAATTCACAATGGAAAATGCTTATTAATATTCCCTTAAATTGCAGGGTGAATCTCAAACAGGAAGAGCACCATGGCAAGGGGTATGTTACTATATTTTACCTGTTAAATATTCCTCAGATTTATTATTGTATATATACCAATTGTTCAGTTACTTTTCTTTTCATGATAGCACAGTATGTCATTTGCCTTTTTTTTTTCCCTCATTAAACGTCGTTGTGTGTCATAATAGAAGTTCTTATGTTACGTATTTTAGTAATGAAATTTGTTGATGTTTCAAATGTTGTTGATGGTGCAAGGTGAGGGAGAGATGCAGAAAGGAGTGGACAATGTTCCAGACTCGGTTGGCAAGTGCAGAAGACGAGTATTACAAGTCAATAGGACTTAGTGATACATCTAATTCCACTGCTCGTTAGGGGTACCACAGCCAAAGTTGACTTGTACACATTGTTACCACTCACTTACCACCATTACTACGCCAAGATTTTTCCTTAGAGAAAAAAAAAATCCTATTTAACGTTACGTACATGGAATGCAATCACAATCCAGAGTCCTAGCTAGGGACCAAACATCATCAATTCGACGTAGAATTGCTGTACCTAAACTGAGAAAATGAAGTGAAGAAAATTGTTATTGCGGCATAACTTGATTGTGACATCATCCAAGTGCGCATATACTTATATAGGAAATAGAAACATCCTTGAACAATCATACCCTTGTTACAGTTCTTATTGTTTTCTTCTATTTCTCAGATAAAGGAATAAAATTTAAAATTTGATGTTATCATGAAGTATCTAAACAAGCTTTTTATCTTAGTTTATCCATTACAGTATAACTTTCCATGTGTTGACACAAGAAACCCACACGATGACAAGTTGGAGAGAGAAGATGGAAGGAGGGTCATTTTCAAAATCTGGTGTGGGGCGCAAATGGGATATGCGGGGTTCCAAATTTATTTCAGTAGTATCGTTGTGATCAAGTCATCACATGTTCAACTCTGGTGAACTTTCTAGATTCGTTTTCAAATGGTTCTTGTGGCGACACTTCTTTTGTTTTTGTTGGTGATTACCATCAATTTAATCAAATTAAATTGTGAAAGATCACTCGAACACTGAATAACTCTGTACGATGAGGACAACCCAACTAGATTCTTCAAAATCTGAACGACAAGTGTATGCTTTGAGGAACAAGAAAACAACTTTAAACTTTTGGAATTGTTTTAGTGTGTGGTGGATCGCTTACTGGGTCAGGCCACTGCCACTGATTAATAATTATATTTTGGACTGATAACATATATATTTCATGTTTTCTACGTTTAAGATTCATTCATCTTTCATATAAATACACTGTGTGAGGGTGAGAAAGTTGACTCAATTCATGAACACGGATATTTAATTGACTCAAAAAGCAGAAATCTTCAAATTGAAATATGAAATGAAGACTAATGAGAGTTTCTCAATCACGAGTCACTTCTCAAAGGATGAATTGGTTTGGTTAAGATGGTGACATGTTGAGGGAACTTCAAAACATGGCCCCTTCACTCAATTTGGGTCGTTGATATTTGCATCTTATTTCATTTTTTTATGATTCTTTTTCCGACCATGAATTATCACATACCAATAAAATAAAATAAAATAAAATTACAAGAACAATAACACTTTCTTTAGTATTTCTGATAACATGTGAAAAAAACAAGGTGCTGTAATATAAAGACGTTACTCTATAAAATTACTTTTTTCTTAATTTTCTCCTGTTTTCATTTTCATCACAAACTTTTCAGTGAAAGAATATATTTTATGGATCTTATCAAGGAGCACCCCAGACACTCAGGACAAAGAAGCTTTGATATTTTTTTTAATTTTTTTTTATCAAATATCTGTTACTTATTTTTTAAAAATAAAAATGAATATTTTTAATAATTAAAAAAATAAAACTAATAAATAATTATTTCATGATATTAGTTTTTAATAATTATATTATAAATTAAATTTGATAAATTAAACATATAATTTCTACCTAATTTTAATACTAATTCAAAATTTTCCTGAAATAAATATCAAACGTAACGTTTATTTGATATTTGTTTCAATGTTTTTTTCTATACAAATTTGTCATAATAAAATAAAATCACGCATAAAAAAAATATAAAAAACCGCGTTGCCACCGTATCTTATTTCGCCATAAAGTCATGTCAAAGTCTTTTTTAAAGAAAAAACATCTTACACGTGTATGCAGATGCAACGCTGAAAATTATGTCGACGGATATACAGATAATGTTGTTACTTACAAAAAAAAAGTATATTTACATGATAATTTATATTTTAAAAAAATTTAAGATAAATATTACTATAATCATTTTATACATAACCTGTAAAATTTATTATTCAAAATAAGTAATAGATTTTAACTAAAAATACTCAAATTATAAATTTTGTATACTACGATCTAAATATAAATTAATACATTATAAATATATTATTGAGACTAATTTTTAAAAAGTATTATTTTATTTTGTTCCCAAAACGTTCGTTAAATTCTCAAGTTTAATCATTAAAATAATTTATTCACTAAATATATTACTTTTAAAAATATTCGGTAAAAACTATATTATAATTAACATAATATCTTAAATAAGATAATTAAAATCGAATTAATCCAATAATAAAATTAAAAATTGATAAAATTAGTTTTTTTAATTATTATTTTTAAAATCAATTTATTCCATTTAACTCTTAATTTAAGCGTCAAGGAAAAAAACAAATCAAAATTAAAAATTATATTTTTAAAATTAAAATATTTATATAAATAAATCACTTATTTTTTTATAAATAAAATATATATTATTATTATTTTAAATTAAATGTAAAAATAATATAAATAAATTAGAATTATAAATATTATAAGTAATAATATATGATATTTTAATGTTTTTCATCCTATAATTATTTTATTATAATACATTTAATAATTTTGTAATAAAAATTATAAAAAAAAATTTAATTTAATCATAAAATACTAATTTAATTTAATTGAAATTTTATAAAAAATAAAAATCCAAATTTAAAGTGATTTATAAGTTAATTGTTTTAAATCAGATAATTTTTAATATAAAATCCATCTCAAAAACTTATATGATATTTAAGTGTTAAAAATGGTAATAACCAATAATAAAGAATTTGAATAAAAGAAAAAGGAAATCTAGGTGTGATCTTGGGACAATCAAAGCGTTAGGGAGTTAAAGAACACAAGTGATCCGAAAATCTAGAAACCTCGGATTCATGCCACCACTCACAACCACTGTGGCCACCGCATATCTCCCTTAACACGTGTCCTTCTTCCACCATTATTCATTTTTCACTCACAAATTCCTCCACGTGTTGCCACGCGTTAGTTAAACCCCCTTCTTCCGGATACCCAACCATGGTTATGGGTATGGTTACTATTCTCTAGTTAAGGATATGTGAACCAACCTCACTCACTATACTATACCCTCTCTTTACATACGTACACACACATATATATATATATATATATATATATATATATTAACATATTCCTGCTACAAAGTCTAACACAAGATTTTGTTTTGTTGGTGTGTTTGTATGTGTGTATGTTGTGCTGCAATTGCTGTCTCATTCGCCTTCTGTGTGAACTCAATTTGTGGTGAGAGAGAGATTAAGTTTCAAAGATCATGGGTCTCTCAAATTTTCCAACTGCATCTGAAGGAGTGCTTCCTGTGCTCGTGATAAACACGGTTCTCTCAGTGGCTGTGTTGAAGAACATGTTTAGATCCATGCTCCAAGTTGTTGGGGGCAGTTCAAGTTCAGGTTCAAGCACATCCTCTTTCTCTCCGAACGTTGAACATGAGTCCCATGAAAGCGCACGAGAAAGGAGGGTGTCGATAACTGAGTACAAGGCATTGTCAGGAAGGAGAAGTAGTGAGAGTGGATGGAGGGGTGTGGCCATGGTGGAGTGCTGCGTTTGTCTGTGTCGTTTTGAAGGCAATCAAGAGGTAAGCGAGTTGCCTTGCAAACATTACTTCCACAGAGGTTGCTTAGACAAATGGTTTGATAACAAACACGCCACATGCCCCTTGTGTCGTTCCATGGACTAGACTTCTCAACATCACACACATATATGTACACAATAGGAAGAGTTAGTTCTTGCTTTTGTAACTTGTTAATTACATATATATCTATATATCAATGTCTCTCTTCATTTGTTTACTTTAATTTGTAAACCTCCTGCAACCAACTCAGTTTCTTTATGTTTAGATTTTATGGAACAAAATGAGACATGAGGTTGCCTTCACTTGCTTCATTTTGTTACTGCCAGTGCTTGAACCTTCAAACTCCAAAATCCCTCTCTTCTTCTCCACTGCATCATCATTCTGCATAATTTCAATTTCATACTTCTGTTCTGCCTTGTTTGTTTCAACTTCGGATTTTCAGGATTTCTAACCAAAATCTTAGTGAGTTTAGGTAACTTTTCACCCATTTTCATTTCTTGCTCGAAATATATAGGAGAAGGTGGTAATATAAACAAAGAATAATGAACTAAGAAATTTGATTTTATATAATTTTTGTCAATTATATATATTTATTGGGTTTAATCATCTTCTTTAATTTGTTCTCTCAATTTTATTTTTTACTTGTTAATATTTTGTATTATGTCAATTTTGTGTTGGTGAAATCTTCTTATCTAAGGTTAATGCTATTAATTGAGTTTTAATTTCTAATTAAACATTTTTAAAATGTTATTCTTATGAACAAATAAAAGATTATTAAATTGAAGTTTAAGATAAAAGAGTAAATAAAAATCTTATGAAAAGAAATTTAACCTTCTTTCCTGTTTATCTCACTTTTAGTTTTAGCTCACGTTTTTTTCAATTATTTTTAACTTTTTTTTTTTTTAAGTAATCACTTCAAATCCTTAAAAATGAGAGAAGTAAAATGGTAATTTTATTTTCTTGAACAGAAAAGGATCCACTCTCTTTCTTGAAGACGTGAATGATAATCTTTGTATTTTTGTAAATAAAAAATAGTATAAAAATTTTGCTTGATTCATGCTTCATAAACTTAATTGAGATATTAATGATTTTGCAGGACAAAAGTACTATTTTGTCCTTTATTATTTTCTAAAAATAGATGAATACCATATATTCACTTGAATAAAAAAATCATAAGAATAAAATGTCTATATATATATATATATATTATTTTCCCCAGTTTGTACTCATAAGAATTTAAAGATAGTTTTTCATTTTAATTTTTTTGTTATTTTTTGAACCGAAGCATAGATTTTTATTTAACTGGTGTGGGTTCGATTTTGATTGACAGAAAACGTATACATGATTTTATTCCCAAAATAGTGAAGAATGCACGGAGTTTTATGCCACGTATACATTTGTCTCACTGCAACTTCATCACTTTTCAAACACATTATTTTTCCAGAAAAATAAAATATTTAGTGACGAAAAAAATATATAAGAGAGATTATTTAATTAAATTTATCTTTTATTATTCATATGGTTTTTAATAATCAGATATGATATCAATATAATTGATTTAATCACCAATATCGAGACACGTGATAGCAAATACCTTGTGAAGTATTCAAGTATTCTAAATAGGATGTCAATTAAACCCTTGGGGATCTCGACCGGTCTCCTCGGTTAACTCGAGTTAACACGAGTTTGACGAAAACTCGTGTCAACAAACCCGTCAAATCGGGGAAAACTCGGCTCAACAAATCCGAGTTTGACGAGGTAACTCTCGGGTCAACAAGGGGGTGGGTTTGGGTTTTCTCTGGGTTCGTGTTTTTTCCCATTTGACGGGGAGTCGCGGGGTGAGTTTTGTCCGTGGGTTTTCTCCTCTCCGCTTAAAAAAAAAAGGGTCGGGGGACGAGTATGGGTACTGTAAGATCCATCTTATCCAAATTCAGTTGGGTACTGTAAGTTCCATCTTATCCAAATTCATCTTAATTCATTTTTATAGATTTTGTATTTAAATTTTAAAATATTAATATTTTAAAATTATTTTTATTAATATTTTAAAATTATTTTTTTTCTTTTTTATTACAAGTCATTTTTTATATTTCAATTTTTTTCTTTTATCTACTTTTTAATTTTTTTATCATTTTTAATATTTTATATCAATTAATTTATTATATTATTTTTTTCATTTTTCAGTTTTTTACATTTTCTCATTTCTCTTATTAATTATTTTTTTCAATCTTAATAATAACTAATATTATTTTATTTATAATTTATATTTATTAGGTTTTATTATATTATACTTTTTTATTTTATTATTCTCAAATTTTATCTTATATTCTTTAAATAATAATTGTATTATTATATTTTAAAGAATTAAAGAAATTGATAATTTAAACTTTTATTATTTCAAATTGAATAAGATTTAATTAACTTATTAAATATTTTTTATAAATTATATATTTCATATTTTTAAATGATATATTTTTTATAAATTATATATTTCATATTTTTAAATGATAACTTAACAATGAATTAACTTATATATAATCAAATATTTGAATACAGATATTATAATAATAATGTTATAAATATTCAAATATTTGAATACAGTGTATAATAATAATGTTATAAATAAAAAGTGATTAAATATTTTTTTACATACATATTTTAATATAAATATAAAAAATTAAAATGTATATTTAATTAATAATAATTATAAATTATAAATATTTATTTATATATAAAAAATAGATAGTAAAATTAATTTATTATAAATGTAATTATATTTTTAAAAATAATATAGATCGAGCACGGGGTGATGATGAAACTCAGTGGGGATGGAGACTTAATTTCTAACACCGACAAGAATCGGAATGGTTAAAAAAGTCAGGAATGGGGAGACAAAACCTGTCCCACCCGGCCTGTTGTCATGCCTGTCATGCCTTTCTAAATGAATACTGTTAGTCATGCCTTTCTAAACGAATACTGTTATTAATAATAAAATTAAATATTTTATTATGAGTGTTAGTTGAATTATTATTATTTAATTAGAATTATTTATTTAAACAATTTTTTTAAAATTTTAAGTAATTTATTTTTTAATTTTAAATAACTTTTTTTTATTTTTAAGTAATTAAGATGTGAGAGTTACATGAATAGGAGATGCTTTTAGTATTTTCGAGAGAAAAAATTATTAGCATCAAAATTAACGTTTTATTAAGAACAAAAGGAGGTAATTTATTATACATTATTAAAATATTTATTAAATTTAAAATAAGCAAGGTGATACAAATATTTTGAAATTATCTGAATGAAATTATTCAAGTGAAGTACACTGCTAACTACTTATAAGTTAAGGCTTCTGTTAAGGTGATTTTTAGTTTCACGATTAAAATATTTTAAAAAACCTTAAATTAATTTTTAAGATAGTTTAATTGGGTGGGCAATTAAGAATTGTCAGAACTTTAAATCAATTAGATTAGATATCTCATTATATATATATTAGCCGATATGAGACATAAGACAGGACTTACAACACTTTTTATAAGTATTTTTCTCTTGAAGTGTATAACATTTGGGTGTCATGAATCATTTTACTATTAAATTATCTTTTCAAAAATGTAAATTACTTTTACACATTCTAAGAGGAGAAGCAAATTTCTGCTTTTCACATTGGACGTGCATAAATCATTACAACTAATGACCAAATACACTACAAATCAGTTTTCAACTAATAATATAAACGCATCATAAAAATGAAGAACTGCACATGTCATCCTGGCAGAATAGTGGAAAATTGCTTCTGTATTACACTTTGTGTGGACTAAAAAAACCAGAAAAATAAAGATAGAATGCGACTTTAGTTTTGTTATTCAAATTGTGAGTGGAGTTGTGATCGAAAGTCATTCTTATTAGCCAATGATTCACTTTATCAGAAGTTGGTTAACCAGAGAATGAGATATTATTTTTGTCCATGTATAGAGGCTAATGTTGTGGCTGATTAATTAGCTTCTTAACTCATTCTTGTGTCTTAGAATCTTCTCATATGTTTCTTGTTTAATATGTTATCTAAGGATGTAATTAGATTATGTGTAAATTATGATTAACTTATTTAAGCTTTTGTCCTCATTAATAGTAAAAGAAATGCACGAAACCTAAATAAGTTCAACTGCCAATAACAAGACATAGGAAAAGGAAAGGAGTAACCAATTACCATTAAAACTACAAACTAAATTAATTATAACTTTGAATACACTCATGACACATAGAATATATATATATACTAGGATGAGAGCTTTGAAGCATTATTCAGGTCACACTCTGATCTAAGACATCTAAATAAGGAAAAAAAGATACATGGCCTTAAGAGTATATAGTTCCAGAGTAGCCAAGTTGAATATTATCGTATATTTTGCATGTAAACATGATAACCCTGCACATGCATGGCCTTAAGATAAGAGTAACTATATTTGTCCCAAAGACTTGAGCCTGGCAAGTTCAATCCGTTTGTGCTCTTGCTTGATAAACGCGTCAGCTTTTTGGTCTACTGTCCGAAAAGCACTTGCATGGTTGACAGTAGAAGGGGTCTGATGATGAGTTTGTGGCACAGGAGTATCAGGGCCAGGTAATGCTTCAGCTGCTACTGTGATGGGCTCTTCTAGGTTGGTTTTGAAGGCCACACGACCCTTCTGATGTTGAGGACGATCAAAGCGCTTGCGTAGTGCAGGCCCTGTTACTTCATGGACTTGGTAATCGTTGGAGGGGCACCACCCTCGGTAACTCAAGTTGAGGTTTTTGTTTTGGCTTCCCATTTTCTGTCTTTAAGTCCAAGTTGTTGGGATATCTAGCTTCTGTTACTTACACCTTCATCGTGCTTTGTTTATTTTTGTATTTGTGTATGTATATATACACTGACAATTAGTGGATACCTTGACTACTTTCTTTTTGGTGGATATATGCTGCTTTTATTCTATAATGATAAGGCTGAATCCAATGCCTCTCCCTTTCAGAATAAAGAGCTTTAAGCAAAATTGAAGAAAAAACATGGATCTTTGAGCACCAGAATATATTATGGATAGAAATGTCTTATAAAGCTAGTTGGAGTGGATGCGAGAATAATTGGCAATTGCATTGCCATCACCATTCAATTTTTAGCATTTTCAGCTATAGTTGGGATGGTTGAAGGAAATCTTCCTGGATTATGCTCTTCAGGAATGGAATCAACTTGCTTGAGAAACGATTCATGGAGACTTATTGGTGAATTTAGAAACCTTGCAAAAAAAGTAATGGGAAAAGGAGACTTTAGACTTGACAAGATTATTTTTGCTCATAAAACAAATTATCCCTTCATATCATATGAGATTTTAGCTACACATGCGGACATCTCATTTGATTCATCCATGAAAATTCATCACAGCAAACTTTCTGGGATTCTACACTACTACAAAATATGCTTTCAACGTCGCCATTTAACGTCGGTTAAAGCTGAGCCGACGTTAAATACACTTTCAACGTCGGTTAAAGCTGAGCCGACGTTAAATACACTTTCAACGTCGGTTGGTTAAAAAACGACGTTGAAAGTTGAATGTTGGACACTTTGAACCGACGTTGAAAGTCTTTGTATGGACAATTTCAACGTCGGTTCCAGATGAACTGACGTTGAATGTGTCTTCACCAAAAATTCTTTTAAGTTAGAGAATTGTCACTGACAAGGTTCGAACCAGATACTTTAGAGTTGAAAGTTGATACTCCAACCACTAAACTACTCGTAATTTTCTCGATAATAACTTACAAATTAATTATATTTATATACAAATAAATATATATTATGTGTAAATATATATTTATTTATATTTTCTGGAAAGTGATTTTATTTTTTTTCAGCCAAAAATTCACTTAAGTTAGAGAATTGTCACTGACAGGATTCGAACCCAGTATTTTAGAATTGAAAGCTAATACTCCAACCACTAAACTACTCGTAATTTTCCGATAATAACTTACAAATAAATTATATTTATATACAAATAAATATCCAGTGTAAATATATATTTATTTATATATATTTTCTCGGAAAGTGTTTTTATTTTTTTCAATAAAAAATTCACTTAAGTTAGAGAATTGTCACCGATAGGATTCGAATGTAGTATTTTATAGAGTTGAAAATTGATACTCCAACCACTAAACTACTATAATTTTTTGATAATAATTTACAAATAAATTATATTTATATACAAATAAATATATATCCGTGTAAATATATAAATATAGAATATATAAATACAAATATATTTATATATTTTGATATATTTATATATTTTTATGTTGGATGTGAGGGCGCGATCGAGGGTGAAAGTGAGATTGACTCTCGCTTAAGTGAAAATACGTTAAAGCTCACGAAATTCACTCGTTCAAGCCTAGCTTGAGCGAAAATTGGTATTTTTCGCTGAGCGAATGTGTCACTTGAGCGAATGATGCGCCCAAATTTATTTTATATCATTATATAAATAAATTATAAATATTATATTACTGTCATTAAATTACAAACCCATATAAAGAGACTCGCTCACAAATTTGGCATCAAATTTTGAAAACCCACTCGACACACACTTTCACCTTCGAGCGTGCCCTCACATCCAATATATAAATATATAATTATTTAAATATATCAAAATATATAAATATATTTGTATTTATATATTTACACGGATATATATTTATTTGTATATAAATATAATTTATTTGTAATTTACTATCAAAAAATTCGAGTAGTTTAGTGGTTGGAGTATCGACCTCCAACACTAAGGTCCTGGGTTCGAATCTGTCAGTGACAAAAAAATAGTTTGGTAATGCTTTAAACTTTAAAAAAATATGATAAATAATAAAAATATAATATAAAAGAGAGGGGGGATTTTCAACGTCTAATAATAAAAATATAATATGAAAGTCTAATAACTTTCTACGTCGGTTAAATAGAACCGACGTTGAAAGTCTTAATTTTCAACGTCGCCTGATACAACGTCGGTTCCGAACCGACGTTGAAGGCCTTATTTGTAGTAGTGCTAGTTAATCATTTCCTTATTAGGATGACTGTATCACACTTCTTTCCTATCACAAACAAATACATTAGTTTGTAGACCAAGACTACTTATAGATTAAAAACATTTATAAACTTATGTCTGAGTAAACTTCATTTTGTAAACTAAGCTTACCAAATCAATTATTCCTTTACTTAATCAAAAACAGAATTTCAAAACAAAATTGAAGCAAAACTAAGTTTACAATTGGGTCCAACTCAAAACCAAACAAGAGACTTTTTTCAGCTTTACCTTTTGAAAATAGTTGAACTTTAGCTACTAAAGCCAAACATGCACTTCGTGTCATCATATCATATCACTAACTGTTAGGAAAAATACACGTAACTTTTCCATGTAGTCAGATATGTGAAAGTGAAATAAAAACGAAATAAAGACGGAATAATTGGACACACCAATTGATAACGGAGTTCGGCCAAAATTGCCTACGTCTCCGGACTACTGCAGATATTTTACTGGGAGAAAAGAAAATACACAGGTGTTTACAAAGCACTCTCAAAACACTCGCAACCATCAACCCAATTACACCCAGAAGCTAGATTATTTTCTTTCTGCTTCTTTCTGGCTAACTCTTGTAATGATTACTTTTTGGAATTTGATGATAGAAATGAGTGAAGTGAAAGAGCATTTTATAGCAAAAGGAATGATTATTGTACATTTAATGCTTTCCATTTTTTTCTTGTCTCCAACCACTTGCCAGCCAACCACTTGCCAACCAACCACTTGCCACCTTTTTTTTTTTTACTTTTCAAACACCAACAATCTCCCACTTGAGGACTGATTTCAATCTGTCCTCACACCTTGATTAATGCAATAGTCTTCTCTGGTCTGCTACTCTTGCAATCCAACTGAAGTTGAGCACAACTTCAGTTTGTCAATGGTCACCACCTTCGTTAAAATATTTGCTGAGTTCTTGCTTCCTACAATCTTCTTCAATGTTAACACCTCATCCTCAAGTAGAGATATGATAAAATGGTAATGAATATCAATGTGCTTGGTTCTAGAGTGAAATGCTGAATTATTTGCCACATGTATTGCACTCTGACTATCATTATGCAAAACACTCTCATCTTGAGTGAATCTCAGCTCTACTAACAGTCCTTGAAGCCATATCAATTCTTTACTGGCTTCTGTCACTGCTACATACTCAGCCTCTGTAGTGGATAAAGCAACAATTTTTTGTATCTGCGACATCCAACTAACAGCTGTAGTACAAACCGTGAAAACATAACCGGTGGTGCTTTTTTGGTGATCAACTTCACCTCCAAAGTCTGCATCTACGTAGCCCTGTAATCTTATATTTTCTTTTCCAAAACACAGACATTTTTTTGTTGTTCCTCATAGATATCTTAGAATCCACTTGACGACTTCCCAGTGAGCCTTTCCTGAATTTGCCATAAACCTTCTCACAACTCCCACTGCATGGCCAATGTCTGACCTTGTACAGACCATTGCGTACATCAAACTTCCAATGGCTGAAGCATACGGAACCTTAGCCATAATTTCTTCTTCTTCCTTTGTTTGAGGAGACTGATCCTTGGATAGACGACAATGACTGGCCAAAGGTGTACTGACTGGTTTGACCTTGTCCATGTTAAATCTTTGCAAAACACGGTTGATGTACTCCTCTTGAGATAACTGCAAAACTCCTTTTTGCTTATCTCTCGTGATTTGCATTCCAAGAATCTTCTTTGTTGGTCCTAAGTCCTTCTTGTCAAATTCCTTTGATAATTGCATCTTTAAATTTCTGATATCCCTCATATTTGAACCTGCTACTAACATGTCATCAACATAAAGTAGCAATATGACATAGCTGGACTTATACCTCTTGAAGAAACAATAGTGATCGACATTGCACTTCTGGAAACCTTCCTTGTGCATGAAGCTTTCAAACTTCCTGTACCACTGTCTTGGAGCTTGTTTCAGACCGTATAAGCTCTTCTTCAATTTGCACACCATATCCTTCTTTCCTTCTAAAAATCCTTCAGGTTGGTGCATGTAGATCTCCTCATCTAAGTCTCCGTGGAGAAATGCAGTTTTCACATCTAATTGCTCTAGGTAGAGCTCTTCACTAGCCACAATACTTAACAATGTTCTGATAGTATTGAGCTTTACGACTGGAGCAAAGATTTCAGTGTAGTCAACTCCTTCTTTCTGCTGAAATCCTTTGACAACTAGTCAGACTTTGTATCTCTTGGAATCGTCATGGTCTTCCTTCACCCGATACACCCATTTGTTGTGAAGTGCTTTCTTCCCCATGGGTAACTTGACTAGTTCCCATGTCTGATTGGAGATCAGAGACTTCATCTCTTCTTTCATGGCAAGCTCCCACTTGCTAGCATCTGTGGTTTGACAAGCTTCTATATAATGTTCGGGCTCCCCTCCATCAGTCAACAACATGTAGTCCATGTATCTCCTGTTTGGCACATGAGGTCTAAAGGACCTTCTCAATACAGGAGTTGGAGTAAGAGGTTCTGGTTGCACATCACCTTCTTCAATTGATTCCTCTGACTGAGGACTCCTCACTATAGGATTTTCTAGGACATCTTCCACTTCTGCAAAAACTGGCCCACTCGATTCTGAATTGCTAATACCTGTTTTATGCATGTCCTTGTACAACACTCTTTCATTGAAGATTACATCTCTGCTGCGGATCATCTTTTTGTTTTCATCATCCCATATGCGGTAGCCATACTCATCTTCACCATAACCAATGAAAGTGCACTTCTTTGATTTTGGGTCAAGTTTGTTTCTACCTTGATCACTGATATGGACATATGCTACACAGCCGAAAACTCTAAGATGTGAGAGTTTTACCTTTTTTCCGCTCCATACCTCTTCTGGTATTCCGTGCTCCACTGGTACCGATGGACTTCGATTGATCAAGTAAGCTGCTGTGTTGACTGCTTCTGCCCAGAACTGATTTGGTAAGCCTGATTGTACACGCAAGTTTCTGGCTCTTTCAGTCAACGTTCGATTCATACGCTCAGCTACACCATTGTGTTGAGACGTACCAGGCACGGTCCTCTCCATTCTGATTTTGTGCTCATAGCAAAACTTCTTGAATCTGGTGTCTACATATTCACCACCATTGTCGGATCTGAGCTTCTTAATCTTCAATCCTGTTTCATTTTCTACCATAGCTTTCTAAATCTTGAAAGTTTCAAATACTTCTGACTTGTGTTTCAGAAAGTAAACCCATACCTTTCTGGAGTGATCATCGATAAACATCACGAAGTATTGCTTCCTACCAACGGATGAGACAGTCGTTGGACCCCAAACATCAGAGTGGACAAGCTCAAGTCTCTCTTTCTTTGGAATTCTTCTATTTTTCTGAAAGCTAACTCTCTTCTGCTTTCCAAGTATGCAGTCTTCACACATGTCAATTTCTACTGACTGAAGACCTGGTAGTTTTCCTTTTGAGTGCATGATCTTCATCCCTTTCTCACTCATATGTCCAAGTCTTTGGTGCCATAGATTGGGATTTTCATTTGCTGCAACTGCAATCAAATGGCATGCTCCTGCAGTCTTGTAAAGAGTACCACTCTTTTTGCCTCGAGCAATTGTCATCGCACCCTTTGAGATCTTCCAATCATCACCGTGGAAGATTGTTGTGTAACCTTTACTGGCTAACTGACTCACTGAGATTAAGTTCTTCGTCAGGTCGGAAATATGTCTGACATTTTTCAATTCCCATACAGACCCGTTCAACTTAATCTTTATTGCACCTTTACCTACAATCTCACACGATTGCTCATTACCAAGGTAAACTTTACCAAGATTTTCGGGAACATAATTTTCGAACAGTTGCTTTTGTGAGGTAGCATGGAAAGATGCTCTAGAGTCTAACACCCAAGACTTCTCCTTGCTTTCTAAAGAGCATATCAACACATCATCTTTCCCTGAGGTAGAGACAACATTTGCCTCGTCCTTCGCTTCTTGATTCTTTCGTGCATTCTTGCACTGATTTTTGTAATGTCCAGTCTTCCCACAATTCCAACACTCGATTTGCTTCGAATTTTGGGAACTACGATGATTTCTGGACTTGGATCATTTGCCCTTTGATTTTTCGCGTCCGCTTTCTTTGGTTGAACTTCTTCCTCTTGACTCTGTATGCAATACTGAAGAGGTTGACGATTCACCCGACTCCCTCTGTCGGATCTCTTCACTGAGAACCAAATTACGAATATCATCAAATTTTAACTTATTGCTTCCCGATGAGCTACTCACAATTATGACAGTAGCATTCCAACTTTCTGGTAGAGAAGACAAAAGTATCAAAGCTCGTACTTCATCATCGAACTCGATCCCAACTGAACTCAACTGAGTTGTAATAGTATTGAGTTCATTGATATGTTGCGCCGTTGAAGTACCTTCAGACATTCGTAGATTGAACAACCGCCTCATCAAATGAACTTTGTTTGAGGCTGATGGTTTCTCGTACATACTGAAAAGAGTATCCATAAGACCTGCTGTCGTATTTTGTTTTGCAATGTTAAAAGCAACATTACGGGATAACGTCAGTCGAATGACTCCAAGGGCCTTTCAGTCGAGAAGAGTCCATTCCTCCTCTTTCATACCCTCTGGTTTCTTTCCTGTGAGTGGTTCGTACATATCCTTCTGATACAGGTAATCCTCAATCTGCATCTTCCAGAACCCAAACTCCGCACCATCGAACTTCTCGATTTTCACCTTTCCTTCATCTGCAGCCATCACTCCAACTCGGATCTGACTTTTCTGGATCGTTTCTAACAATTTTTGTGAACTACCGTGTTTCGGAACACATCTGTAGATAATTTTGTAGCACCGACAAATTTTTTACTATTCATGTTTTTACTATTCAAGGAATAGTAAATTCACTATTCATATGAATAGTATCACCACAAAAATTGCAGAGTTAACAACCAGCTCTGATACCAGTTGTTAGGAAAAATACACAGAACTTTTCCATGTAGTCAGATCTGTGAAAGTGAAATAAAAACGAAATAAAGATGGAATAATTGGACACACCAATTGATAACGGAGTTCGGCCAAAATTGCCTACGTCTCTGAATTACTGCAGATATTTTACTGGGAGAAAAGAAAATACACAGATGTTTACAAAGCACTCTCAAAACACTCGCAACCCTCAACCCAATTACATCCAGAAGCTAGATTATTTTCTTTCTGCTTCTTGCTGGCTAACTCTTGTAATGGTTGCTTTTTGGAATTGGATGATAGAAATGAGTGAAGTGAAAGAACATTTTATAGCAAAAGGAATGGTTCTTGTGCATTTAAGGCTTTCCTTTTTTTTTCTTGTCTCCAATAACTTGCCAGCCAACCACTTGCCACTTTTTTTTTTTTTTTTTTTTTTTACTTTTCAAACACCAACACTAACAACCTCTCTTTATTATTTCTCTAGTATTACTAGTCCAAAACGATGTAAATTTATAGAATGCAGAAATAAAGGTATGAATACTTGAAATATGGTTTCAGGCATCAATGTCGAAGACAGTTATATATTAATTAGAACTTCAAAGTTTAAGTAGATATTACGAGTATGATGTCTTAGCTTCCTCCATTCTGTTTTTGAGATGATAAAGGCTTAATCTAATACACCTATATATCGGCAGAATTTTACGCAAAAAAGAAGAAAATTAAATATGAAGCAGTGAATCTTTAAGCACCGGCATAAAGCATCAGAATGTCTTAAACATAGTTGAAGAGGATTTGCATTGCCATCACCATAACCATTCAATTTGATTCCTTTTACATTTACAGCAACAGTTGGTGATGGTTGAAGGAAATCAATCCCGGGTTGTCAAACTTGTGTCAATTAGGTTTAGACATTTAGACATTTTCAATTTTAGTTTTTGAAGGTAAGTTGGGACAAAACATGAACTTAATATTACTACATCACTAAAAATCACTCCCTTTTATATCTCACTAGCATTACTTCACCAAAACTATGTAAATATAGAAGACATAAAAATTTTGGAATACTATAAGCATATTGACTACAATTTCATAAGTTGAAGTAGATATTACAAGTTACATAAAGCATGACAAGGGTCCAAATACAGTCAAGGGAATCTTATTCCCATGTTATAACCACAAAACACATTTTATTACAGTTGGATTGATATAGCATGAAGCAAGTGCAGAAGTAGGTTGTATATTAGAACCCATTTGGTGTCCACCAGTTTATGTTCGTAATCTTGTTCCTGTTATAGGGACTGATGTAGCAAGTATCCCCACCCCAGTTTTGTTGCTGATATCTCGTTTCCTCCACCTTAGCAGTGACTGTACCAACATGTTCCTCTGTATAGACCTCCTCACAATCGGTTTCCTTCGAGGAATACTCATGATTCACACCAGAATTGAACTTGGAACCACCACCACCGTTTAAAGCATGATAAGAGGAGTTATTACCTTTCAAAGGGGATTTTCTGCCACCCCCATGATGCGCATAACCAAGTCCAAAACCATGGTCACTGTGCATGTGCATGTCTTCTTGAAACATGCCATAGCTTCCTCCTAACTTGCCAAGCTGCTTTGACATTGAGATCTCAGAATCCATACCAGAAGCACCAAGCCTGTTCATGTGCATGGCTCCTAACTTTCCATGATGCTGCTTAGACATTGAGAGGTCAGAGTCCATAGCAAAAGCACCAAGTTTGTTCATGTGCCTGGCTGGGAATCGTTTGTGGTAATTGTTATCAGAGCTCCAAGACTCTTCGTGGCAGGTATAGCTCTGCTGCTGAGCTTGAGTCTCCATCCATATGCCATCATCAGCATAGTATTTCTGCTGAAACACAGCGCTCCTTCTCATGGTGTTTGTTGGAAACTTCAAGTTTAGTTTGCTGTTTATTTGAAATGATGGAGACTCTTATATAGGCAGTTAATAGTGATATAATAATATTTTATGCCGTTGGATGGATAACAATGCATCTTTGAATCCGAATTTAATTTTCAATGGAATTTTGAACGAAGACATTATTGATACCACTTTCTTTTATCAGAATACTTCTCCACCAAGTATTAGAGACTAATTTCACGGAATAAAGATAATTATTTAGAATTTTTTTACCATGTAGCACCATTTGACCATAAATGCAGAAGTAGCACACTTTTTTTTATTAAAGGTGTCTCTAGGAAACCGAATTTCTTACCTTTATTTTTCTTCATTTTAACAACATTTTTTTCACCCAAATATACTTTTTCTATATACACAAACAAAATATAGGATATGTAACCACCTATTTAACTAACAAACATATATTAAACTTTATTCCAAAACCTGTGTGTGCGTATTTGTATAGGCGTCATGATGTCTATCTCAAACCACATCATTAAAACAGGCTATTGCAGCTTATGCATCATTTGAACTGTTTGATGTGATTTGGACGAAGGATACAGTTTAAAGTATCCACATGATTGAATATGACTCCCCCGTTAATGGTGCCTCAAAGCTTTGTCAAGTCAAAAAACGAACAATACCACAGTTAGACATATTAGATTCGTTCCTCAACTTTTTCATTTATAATCAACTAACTCAGTCTTAAATTCTTACCGCATCAACAAATGTGTTTGTGGGCATAATGGGATTGCTGAAACTGTCTGATTTGCAACGCTTAAGGGTCACTTTGATTTTTGTCTATCCATTTGTTTCAAAGCAAACTTTGTGGTACGTCACTCGTATTATCATCCTTTTAGGCCTAAATATTAAAGTAGTAAAAAATCAATGACAGAAATGTTAACAAACAATTGTGGATCACTTGACTATAGGAGTAAAAGTTTTATCCTTTTGAACTATATATTATTGTTTATGACATACTTTTGGATCTCATAAAAAGAGAAACCAACAAAATATGATAAAACTAATGTTTTAGCCTTTAAATGGTATAGAAGAAAAGTACATAACTAAAATTTATAATAATTAAATATTTTTATAATTTATAATAAAACATTGCATATTTAATTATTGAGAGTTTATTTTTAAAATATTGAAATTCATATTATAGCTAAAGATATTGAAAATTTCTAAAAGAATCATAGCTTAAACACAAAGATAATTTATCTGAAAATGGCATCTTGAGAACCATGGCCATTTAACAAAGGAGTTTATTTACTTAAAGAGTGATTGAGAAACTAATTTGCAAGCCCGACAAAACCAATATGTGCAGATGCAAATAGAAGATAATGAAGATTATGATGGAGATTTGAGATAATCAATTAGTATAAGTCATGAAGCACCAGCAGCAACACAAGCAAATAGTCTCAGTCATCATAATCATAGGCAACATTATATTATTACATAGTAAGTTAATGATATTACAAGTAACATCAAGTACCCATAAGTGCCCAGACACGCAGAGGGCAATCTTATTCAAATAAGAAAACATCAAAGCACGCATTTTATTAGAACTGTTTCATTGCCATTTGAAGGAAGCGCCGAGGAAGTAGGTGTAGGTGGTAACTTAGACCCCCTTTGCTGCCCACTGAACTTTGGGTCTGTAGTTCATGTTGCCATAGGGATTGGCATAGCAAGTTTCCGCACCCCAATTATTCTGTTGGTATTTCATTTCATCCATCTTTGTACCGTAAGAACTCTCACACTCAGTTTCCTCCGAGAAATACTCATGTTGGCCAGCAGAATTGAACCTGCTACCACCACCCCCACCATAAGGGAGCTTTACGCCACCCCCATAATGCGCATAACCATTTCCAAAGCCATAATCACTGTGCATGCTTTCCTGAAACTTTCCTCCCAACATGCTATGCTGTTTGTGCATGGAGAGATCAGAAGCATACCTGTCCATGGCTGGGTGCTTCTTGAGGTGGTGGTTGTTCTCTGAGCTCCAAGACTCTTCGTTATAGAAATGGCTCTCTTCCTGAGATTGATTCTGCATCCACATCCCCCCATCAGGATACCATTGATGGCGCTGGTTATACCCCAGTTTCTGCATCTTGCTAATTTGGTGCAAGTTCAAGTTTAGGTTGATGTTAGTGTGATTTTAATTCAATCCTTGGAGACCCTTTTATAGGCACTTCATGATACTATTATATATTCCTGTGAATGGGGCAAAAATATATGGACTCGAGACTCAGATCATTAATATGACAACTTTTTATCATGTATGTAACTACCGTACCTACAGAATAAGCCGAAGGGCTGTGTCAATCATATCATCTTTAGGGACACATACTTCTGCCACGATTTAAATAAGGATAAATATGTTATATTTTACTTCTGCCACGATTTAAATAAGAATAAATATGTTATAATTTTTGGATAGTTATTTAAATATTATTGATATCTTTTTTATTAATATATTTTTAATCTTATTATTCACTTGTTCATTAATTTAAGTATCAGAAAGTCTTTATATAGCTTTATTCTAAATCATGAGTATTTTCATCCATTTTTTTCAAATTCTATTCCCCCACAGGATATGGATGAGACTTTAGACCATTTCTGCATAGCATTTATTCCTTTTGGTTATTTATAATACATACAGCATTCTTTGGATATTTTTTTCTGAATAGGAGGAGATGGTGTGGTGACAGGTGTAACACGTAAATATAAGATACGTCAGATGTTGATGCAATGCTACTGTTGCTGCTTCCTGTCTTCTTTACTTTTAATTTTTCAATAAAAAAATAGATTGACAATTTCTCTTAACAACCATATCTAATAATTCTTTTTATTAATATAATTTAGTATATTGTGAGGAGGGGAAGAAGAAGAATATAATAATTGCTCTGCTAAAAAATTCGGAAGCCAGCGGCATGGGTTGGATTAGGAATAAATAACGAATGTGATTCTTAATTTGCATCGTCCATGGAAAAGCATCGCATTCGTTAATTGTGATGTTTTCAATCATGATATGATATATAGGACCTATTCTCCACTCAATGACTGTTTAGAATATAAGAAACTAATATCATTCATAAATTTCATCTTTTATACGCTGCAAATACTATTTAATCTTTAAATATGGGTGTATATAACTCATTCATAATGGCGCAAAGATTACTTATAATGAATTATTTGTTACCACGATAACAACTATGACGAATCAACCAAGGGATAAAACCTAAAGATGTCATGAGAACTCACTAATCCAAAACATAACACAAACATGTATTCTGAAAGTTCAACAGAATAGGTTTACCTATTAAATTATGTACACAATTGTCTCCAAGATCAAAGAATTTGTCCTAACACAACAAAATTCTGAAAAAAAAAAAAAAATCTTACTGGATACTGAAAATCTCCCTAGTTACAAAATAAAACCGTATTATATATTCTCTCTCAAGCAATTTCCTGGCAAGAGAAATTTATACTTGTCTGCATTCTGTAGTAGATAAGCAGGAAGATGAACTGCAGAATAGGAGTGAGGTATTGGTCCCATTTTACCAATGATTTCCTTGAAGGTGTACTCCTCTGGTAGCATGTCAAACAAATCAGCCCCTTTGCATATTACATCTTGAATTCTCTTGGGATCTAAATAATGAGAGAATCTGACTCTGTCATTATGACTATAAGCTTTCATCTTAAAGATGAAATCGCTGATATGGCGGAAGCAAAAGCTGCAATGCCAACCAGCATCTGCCAGTAAGTCATCAGATTGGCGGTAATGTGCATACCTTGTCTTACCACTCCGATACCTGTGAACAGAGGCTCTCCAGCTGTTATCATCCACAATAAACTCAAATGAATACAGATAGTTCTTCAGCTGAAGATGAAGGATTGAAGGCACATCATCACACCACCTCAAGAGGTTAATTGTGTGAGCACTTGGAATCTCATCAACATCAGACATAATGAGCAAGTCATCATCTGTGATACCAGCAATCTTAAGGAGATGGTCCAATGCTACACGCTGATACGCCTCCTCGATAAACGGGTTTTCTCCTTTGATGAATCTCCCACCAATGGTTCCATATGTTAACCGGGAATCCACAAATCTGAACTGCTCCCGATTGCTTTTGAAAACCAGAGGTTTAGGCCTACCAGTGAACGTGGAATTTGACTCAAGGAGAACAAACTGTGTTATGTAAGGATACAATTCTCTCCACCGCAAGTTTAGTATTTCCAATTCGTTACTGAACAACACAGCATCATACACACGCCTTGGGAACTCACGGACTCCCCAGCCATGAAGTCTGCAGAGATTCTCCATTGACACATTCTCGTTATAGTAATGAGGAATCACATTGAAAGGCTTGGGTGGTTTTTCCCATAGCGGCCTCAGGAAGTAGGAGATTTTCTGTCCATGCAAGTATATTCCAAATGTGCACATTGGCACAACACCAAAAAGAAATATTAACGTTTTTACATCCAAGCCACGTACTCTTGACATGCCCCATACTTGACTTGACTCCTGTATCATCAAAGAATAAACATCTGAGTCAAAGTTAACAAGGACAATACATCCTTTTAACTTGACAATGCAGCTTCATTCAACCATAATTCAAATGCTATTGTCTCTCTCTAAGTCTTTGTTGATGATTTTTCCTTTTTGAATAATCGTTGAAATGTATCAGAAAATCTCCCGAACATCGCGGAAAATAACACTATGGGGCAATTCTATTCAATAATTATATCCTAAAGCTACAACATGAACATATCAAACACATGCAAAAAATCCCCAAATGCAATTAGTTAATTGTGCAACCATTCTAATCCCATTTTGGATGCGTAATCAACTCCCTTTTCCCCCGTCTAAAAACAAAACGAAATGAAGAAGGAGTCCAACATATTTGCTATAAATACCTTCAAGGTTCATCCTTTCTTATGTAGGAAAAAAATTATATCAGAGAAATCAAGCACACATATAAACGCATAGAGAAAGGAGTGACCAGCCCCTAACTGAAAATAAAATAAAATCCGTTCTTCCCGAAACAAAAAAAGACACCCAGAATCAACAAAACAAGATTAACTAAAGGGATAAAACGAAGCCATGGCGAAAAGATGAAAATTTTACAAAACGAAATTATAATTACCAGGCTACAAGCATCACCGTTCTTCTTAGGACAGTAATGTCCAGCGGCACAGCACATTGTTAGAGTTCAATCCAAATCCAACGAAACGAGATCGATAGTATAAAGACAGTAGCTCCAATTGAAAGCGTATTCAGTTAGAAACAAGAAGAAATGCGCGTTGAAGGGTAAAAGCAGGGAAAAAAAGGGTAAAGACGTAGAAGGGTTTTGTTGTAGTGGGCGACGGAGAAACAGAGAGACACTGAAAGCCGAAAAAGGAAGTCCCGTTGCAGAATTCCTCTTTGGCAGTTTTTGTTCTGTTGATGATGTTCTTCTCAAGTACCACCTCCTCCAAATGTGTATTTATACATATATGACCAACGCAACAACTCATCATCAACTATACGAACACCTCTTTCTCCACGCGTTTTCTATTCCCAGTTTGGTCTCATCTGAAGATATCTCGTGCTTACTTAGTCACGCAAAAACCCATTCCAACGAATGGGTCTGAGGCCTTAAATTTAATATTTAAAACAATTTAAAAAATTTATTGGAATATACTAATATAATATAATATGATGAAATCTTACAATTAAGATCCTGATTTTGTAGAAAACTTTATATTATAAAAATATAAAAAATATTTTGTAGAAAAAAATGAAGGAAAATAAAATAGAATATAAACTTACCATTGTACTATGTCGATGGTTTTCTGTACAGGTTGGTTGTAGAAACCAAGTCATAGGTTACATCGTGGTGAGTTGTTCTCTTTGTTTGGCCACGTGGTGGCCTCGCTTCATGATTGGGAGAGAAAGCGTATAATACAAGACGATGCCGTTCCTGCCGAGGAATTCGATGGGGGTAAAATTTCCTACGCCCACGCGCACCGTAACAGTCCTGTGCGGAGTAATTGATGTGTTATTTAAGGTTCTGTCTTATAATTGATTTGGATTCAGTATTATAGTGGAACGTGTTTCCAATAAATTTCTTTTATTATAATATAAGATTATCTTCTTGTTTTTCAGTACACTTATAAAATGATTTCTAACGTGTGTAGTTGATAAAAATGAAATTATCATGAAAATTTTAATTTTTTCTAACACTTTTATATGCTAAATCATTAAGGATAAAACCTCAATATTCCCTAAAATACCCTTTTCCATGATAAAATTGTTAAACTATTCCACTTTTCTTGTGATAATTAAGATCTTAATTTTTTTGTTTAAAAAAATATTTCACCCTATTATATAATTATAGGCAATTAATAAAACTCCATAAGCAATTGAGACATTGGTAAGAATCACATTTAATTGAACTTAACAATTTTAATGGTTGGAATAATATTAGGGAATTTTTTTTTTAACTCTTTCAATTCGAAAAAAAATCATATAAATAATCATATGATAAATTGTCACGAGAAAAAGTAAAAACTCCAATGAAAACAAAAACAATTAAAGAATTAACAATAAAGGAAAATAATAAATTTATAAAACAGAAAATTATAAGTCCGAAACAACGTTTTTAAAACAAAAATACGTAAAATAACACTAATAGCATTCTTTTAAGTACATTCTTAAATTCCTAATCTTATAAGTATATGTTAAAAAAAATTATAATCCTGTAAATATATATGCTTTTAAAAAATACAATAAAATTAACAAGTGATTCCTAAAACTACACCACATCATTTCTTTTTTTCAATTCAATTGCGGTGTGAGTAAGTCACATCACATTGTAATAGATTTTAGAGATAAAACAAAAATAATTAAATAAGAAAATCATAACTGTAATAGAAAACAATTTAATAAGTGGGTGTAATTCTCTTTCAATTGTTCTTCCTTTTATTCAGTTAAAAAATTGAATTAAAAAATAATATGAAAATAAAATAGTTTTTTTGTTTCTTAAATAATCATAATTTTATTGAACAACCAATATATTCATTATACAATTGAAAATATTATATATTGTTATTTAATTAACAAAAGTAGTCGTTGGGAACACGTTGTGAATCCAACATTTCCCAAATTCAGTTGTTTTGGGGACGTCATATGATGATACTGGGTAATCGTCCTTGCTTTCAAGAGTCTGATACAGTAACAAAATGATATTATTAATATTATTTAAAGTGAAATTATTTCGTATCAACTAATATTTAACTCTAATTGGTGTAATTTTTTTTTCAAAAGTATATATAACAGTAATTACAAATTAAAATCATCGTACATTTTTTTATACAATTCACAAACACAAAAAATGAAGAAAAAAACCATTGCTGTTATTCATAGCATCACATATCACAGTGACACATGATAACAGAAGAAACAAAAAGTTGTATAATATGTATTTACAAAACAAACCTTGTTGTAGAGGGAAACCGGACCAAGTCAAGAGAATTTATCATAAACGTTGGGAAAGCAAACCTATCTGAATTTGTTGCCCTGTGTGCACTCATCGTTTTCCCTTCTTCCCTTATAAACACCATCTTCTCTCCCTTCTCCTTCAACTCTCTCACTAAATCCCAGGATAATCTCTCTTTCTCTGCAACCACCGCCACCACCATCTCTCTGCACTTCTCCAATCTGTTCAACACGTGAACCAACTCCACCACTTCTCCAAAACTCAGACACCCCAATCGCTCCCTGAACTCGTTAACTCGAACAAACACCTCACCCAACGCCACCACAACATCCTCTTCCACTGACGTTGATATTTCAATCACTAACCTGTTCCCTTCCAAGGTTGTTGTGTCGGGTATTCCTCCAATCCCTTCAAAAACCGCCAACAAAGCCTCCGTCTCCCTCAACAGCTCATCGTTGCTAAGACCTGAAGCTCTCTCTTCTCGCTCTTTCATCCATGACCTACCTGATAATCTTAAATTAGACCTGTGACAAATTTTAAATTAAATACTTTTTTATTCTGACTCAACAAGTTATTCACTCTTTCCCTTTAGAAGATATTCTTCCGTTATTAAAAAAATAAAAATTTGAATAGTAAATTTCTTTTTTTTTTATTATTATATCTTCAATCTTTTCGTGCGCAAATAAGGGGAGACACGTAGAAAAAAATTCCAATGTTGAAAAAACTGTTCTGTAACCTCTTTGATAAAAGAAGACATCAAAGAAAAATAAATAAATAAAATATGTTATAACTCTTTATTTTTTTTATAGGTTAAAGTGACAATTTATAAATAACCTGAAACTAGGCTAGCTTAAACAAACGATGACGGTCCGAGATAAAGTCGGTCATAGGAAGAAAATATTCAGAATAAGATTATGAGATGACTCGAATCTGACAGAAGTTGGTTAGACATCTCCTCATAAGTTTATGCATGAACGAAAAATAAAGGCAGAAAAGTAAAAACAGACAAATAAACACACAAGTTCATCATAAGATTATGAGATGACTGAATCTGGTAGAGCCGGTTATACATCTCCTCATAAGCTTATATGAACATAAAATAAAACTATACAAAATTTTTAAGCCTTTAAATGATTATCGCATATTTGAATAAATATCACTTAAGGCATCCGAGAACGCCTTTATAAGAAAAATACTCCATAAAATGGAGAGTAAAGAAAACTTACTTGGGAGAGGAGAAAGAAAAGGAGAAGGGAGATGTTAAATATGCTTCTCTTATTGATATAATTGAATTTACATAAGAGAGAGGAAGAAGAAGTAGAGAGAAGGAGGAGAAGTGAGGGAGGAGTGAGAGAAGAGAGGGATGGAAGGACTCTTACCAAGCATAATGGGCTTATAGGTCCTTATCTAAAAAACAAAAATAATAAAATATTGAATAGTAAATTTTACATGTGAAACCCACTTTATGACTTATGGGTCTTAAAAAAAACTTAAAAGAGAAATTATCTAAAAGGGAGAGGAGTTTACGGAAGATATTCTTCCGTCACTAAAAGACAAAAATTTGAATAGTAATTTTTTGTTTATTATATCAAAAGATTGGTTCAATCTTTCTGTCATTAACAAGCAAGGCTTAAAGGCCTAACAACGTGTAACGGTAGAGAGGAATCATGACAAGGTAGCAAAATATCATTATCTGTCGTTAACCTTTGTCATCTTTTGATATTGTTGTATGACGTAAGGGCTTACATCATAAGTGGTCTAAGAATATCTTCTGAAAACTGATGCAGAAGATATGTCTTCAAGTCTAAGAACATCTTCTGGAAACTGATACAGAAGATATGTCTTCAAGTCCTTCTTCGATCATCTGATCTAAGAAGTTTATTTCCTCATCATCAAAGGGAAATGAAGCTTCGGGAGTTCCTTGTCCATGGATACCGGTTTCTTCATAGATTTCTTTGAAAATCTTTTCTTTTTCAAAGTGACTTACCAGAAGTGGACTGGCTTCAGTAGGAAAAGGATAAAACTTATTTCCCATGTGTTGTTTCCAATAAAGCTTGGTATCAGCAGTTTCTTTTAGAAGAATGAAATCTGAAATATTCTTTTTGGAAAAATTCCAGTTAAATCCTTTTACATAAACTTTCCAAAGCTGGTACTGGTAAAACTTTGTTTAGAGTAAGTCCTTTAAAAGGGTCTTGCTCTGTTGAGGTAAGTATATCAGGGTTTACCTCTGTGTATAGCTTGACAACGTGTTTTGCAATGCTATCAGGCAAAGTGGGACTTCTTGGGGAAGAAGTAATGTGTAAGAGCATGTTTGTCATGTGCTCAGCTTGTATCTCATTTACCACAGAGTTTATTTCTGGAGTTAATGAGTGAAATCTTTCTGTGGGCAGGATGGAAATAGCTTGGAGACATCCTTCTTCTAACAGAAGTTGATGGCTTATCAGAAGTTCTCGATATAATTGGTATTTGAAGGTTCACAAATCAATTTGCGCCGTTCGGATAACAAACTTTATTTGGTAAATGCAATTTTTGGTAACTGTTTTGCAGTATTCTGAGGATCCTAAACAATAGTTCCTAGTGTTAAAAAAAAGTTGTGTTTTGACAATAAACCCATTTGGATTTTTGGCTTCAGAATAAACTTCAAACAGAAATTTCTGTATCAAGCCTAACTTGGCTAAGAAAATATTTGGGTTAACCTGGGTAGGAAGGCAACAAACTCCTACATAGGTTTGTGTTTGGGCCTTTGGTTCATATAAAAAGGTCATTTTTATTTTATATTCATTTATAATTTCTAATTTCAAAGTCATATGGGCTTCTTCCTTAGAATAAAAATCTTTGTAAGTAAACCAAAACTGGTCTTGCTTGGCCTCAGAGAGGTCTTTATAAAAAGTAGAAACTCCTTTGTTTGGCCTCGTAACTAGGGCATAATGTGTAAACCCCTTACCAGAAGGTGATGTTGTGGAAGTCAACCTAACTTTCTTGTTATCTGCATTGCAAAAACAGTATAGTGCACTAATAATATTTTGCTTCATTTTAGCGACTTGTTGCTCATTCTGAGTTATGTGTTTTGGAATACTCTAAATATTGTCAATTAAAACATTTAATTTGACATTTGTAGATTCTCTACCAGGAAACTAGTAGATATGTGTAAGTATGAGTAGCTCTTGCTTCCCATACTTTATGTATTTCTCCGCCATAATTGGGGATTTTGTAGGTTTAGGACCTAAAGGCCCTTTCCCTTTGTTTGTGGAATCCATCATTGGATTTCTGTTCTTGAAAAAGAAACATTAGTAAACAAGTTATATTAACTTGTAGTGGTCATCAATGGTCTCTTTGTTCTTGAAAAGCAATAAAAAAACAGGTTATATCAAACAACAAAATGACCTATTTTCCCTAATTCTTGTTCTAGGGATTTTATATGGGTCTTATAAAAGAAAACCTCATAAACAAAGTTATGAGGGTTTATTTCATCTTTCTTTAGATGTAATTCGGCTAATATTCTTTTTAGCCTTTTTATGTGTTTAGTAATTTTTATGGCAGGATGAGAGCTAGAAATAACACCAAATCTTAATGGCCTGTGTAAAAACCCATAATCTTGGTTTTTGTTAGAGGATTTGACCAAGTCCTTAGTTGTGACGTACCTGAAAAGGATGTCAGCGAACATATTATTAGATCCTTTAATATGTTCAAAATTTATAATTTTGCCAGATTTCATGTAATCTTTGAATAAAAGTCATCTTCTGTGTGACTTTTTATCTTTATGAATCTGGTTTTTTCATAAGAAACAATTGTTTCACAATCGGTTCTAATGGTTATTTCTGATTTATCTATCAGAAATAATTTAAATGCTTCTAGAGCATGCATGATAGCATTGACTTCATAGTCAGTGCTAGTTTGGTATACCTGAGATTTTGCAGTATATTTGTCAGAGGCATATCTGCATATTTGTTCTTCTATCTTAGAAGAATATTGGTTTTTCTTGCGTTTTAGGATGACTCTCCATCCTAATTCGCTTCCGTCACACTCGATTATCAGATAATCAGAGTCTAATGGTAATTATAAAATTGGTAATTTGTTTACCATCTATTTTATATTTTGAACCAATCTTATGTTTTCAGAATTAAATTTTCTTTCTCCTTTAATAGAAGTCTTATTGTATAGGAGATGTCTATTTACCCAAATTTGGAATAAAATTTCGAGCATAGTTTAAGAGTCCTAAAAAGAATCTCAAAGTCTTAATATCCTCCATTTTATCAGGAAAATCTTAGATTTTTCTATAAATATGGGGTTGGAGTTTTATGGTTTCGTTCCCTATTTCTGTTCCTAGGAATTCTATAAAACTTTTACATATTTTTATTTTGTTTTTAGACACTATTAACCCATAGTGTTATAATTTGTATAAAACTTGTTTTAAATGAAGAAAACGTTCTTCTTTAGTCTTGGAAAAAATAAGTATGTTGTCTATATAGACGCAAGTGAAGGATTTAAAGTCTTTAAAAATGTTGTCCATTTTTCTTTGGAAAATAGCGGATGCATTTTTAAGACCGAAAGACATCACATGCCATTCATATAATCCTTTTGAACAAGAAAAAAATTGTCCATTTTATCGAGTCAGAATCCATTTTAACTTGGTGGAAACCACTTTTTAAGTCAAATTTTGAAAATCATCTTGCATTTTGTATGCGATTTATCAAAATATCTTTAGATAGAATAATATATCTATCTTCGACTGTGTTATCATTCAGTCTTTTATAATTGTAAATCATCCTGGATTTACCTCTTTTTTGCTCTGAGACTTTGTTTACTATAAAAGCAGGACTCCTGTGAGAATTTTCACTTGGAGTTATTACTTTCAATTTCAAGAGATTGTCGATATGTAATCGACATTCTTCTTGCTCCCAGTTGTTAAACTGTATATCTTTTGTTTTTATAATCAAATCAGGATTGATTATATTCAGTTTGCAAATAATAGGATCTCGATCCCAAAATTTTGTGAGATCTTCTCCTATTATGCTTGTTTTGTTTAACCTATCCAATATCTGTTAGATATTATCAAACGTAATTGTTTTTTATATCTTTATGGAAGAAAAAGATTTCATAATATCATTTGTGTAGTAATAATCCATATCTTGTTCCATACAATCACATATGTTAGAAGATTTGAGATTTTTTTTAAGACTCTTAAACTATGCCCGAAATTTTATTCCAAATTTGGGTAAATACACATCTCCTTTATACAATAAGACTTCTATTAAAGGAGAAATAAAAATTAATTCTGAAAAAATAAGATTAGTTCAGAATATAAAACAGATGGTAAACAAATTACCAATTTTACAATTACCATTAGACTCTGATTATGATTATTTGATAATCGAGTGCGATAAAAGCGAATTAGGATGGGGAGTCATCCTAAAATGCAAGAAAAACAAATATTCTTCTAAGATAAAATAACAAATATGCAGATATGCCTCTAGCAAATATACTGCAAAACTCCAGGTATACAAAACTAGCACTGACTATGAAGTCAATGCTATCATACATGCTCTAGAAGCATTTAAATTATTTTTTATAGATAAATAAGAAATAACCATTAGAACCGATTGTGGAGCAATTGTTTCTTATAGAAAAAACCAGATTCATAAAGATAAAAAGTCACACACAAGATGACTTTTATTCAAAGATAACATGAATTCTGGAAAAATTATAAATTTTGAACATATTAAAGGATATGATAATATGTTCGCTGACATCCTTTCCAGATACGTCATAACTAATTAAGGACTTGGTCAAGTCCTCCAACAAAAATCAAGATTATGGATAATGATTTGGTGATACAAAATGATCCTGAGATTTCTCCGGGATATGAGTTTTTACACAGGCCATTAAGATTTGGTACTATTTCTAGCCCTCATCCTGCCATAAAAGCTATTAAACACATAAAAAGGCTAAAAAGAATATTAGTCGAATTACATCTAAAGAAAGATGAAATAAACCCTCATAACTTTGTTTATGAGGTTGCCTTTTATAAGGCCCATATAAAATCCCTAGAACAAGAATTAGGGAAAATAAGTCATTTTGTTGCTTCTTATAACCTGTTTTTTTATTGCTTTTCAGGAACAAAGAGACCATTGATGACCACTACAAGTTAATATAACTTTTTTACTAATGTTTCTTTTTCAGGAACAAAAAATCGAATGATGGATTCCACAAACAAAGGGAAAGAGCCTTTAGGTCCTAAACCTACAAAATCTCCATTTATGGCGGAGAAATACATAAAGTATGGGAAGCAAGAGCTACCCATATCTACCAGTTTCCTGGTAGAGAATCTATAAATATCAAATTAAATGTTTTAATTGACAATATTTGGAGTATTCTAAAACACAGTTTAGAACGAGCAACAAGTCGCTAAAATGAAGTAAAACATTATTAGCGCTATATTGTTTCTGCAATGCAGATAACAAGGAAGTCAGGTTGACTTCCACAATATCTCCTTTTTTGGTAAGGGGTTTACACATTATGTCCTAGTTACGAGGCCAAACAAAAGAGTTTATACTTCTTATAAAGACCTCTCTGAGGCCAAGTAGGATCAATTTTGATCTACTTACAAAGGTTTTTATTCCAAGAAAGAAACTCAGATGACTTTGAAATTGGAAAATATAAATGAAGATAAAATAAAAATGGCCTTTTTGTTTGAACCAAAGACCCAAACACAAACCTATGCAGGAGCCTGTTGCCTTCCTACCCAGGTTAACCCAAATATTTTCTTAGCCAAGTTTGGCTTGATATAGGAATTTCTGTTTGAAGTTCATTCTGAAGCCCAAAATCCAAATGAGCTTATTGTCAAAACACAACTTTATTTTAACACTAGGAACCCTTGCTTAGGATCCTCAGAATACTGCAAAACAGTTACCAAAAATTGCACTTTCCAAATAAAGTTTGTTATCCGAAGGGCGCAAATTGATTTGTCAACCTTCAAAAATCAATTATATTGAGAGTTTCTAATAAGCCCTTAACTTCTGTTAGAAGCAGGATGTCTCCAAGTTATTTCCATCCCACCCACATAAAGATTTTACTCATTAACTCCAGAAATAAACTCTGTGGTAAATGAGATACAAGTTGAGCACATGACAAACGTGCTCTTACATATTACTTCTTCCCCAAGAAGTCCCACTTTGCCTGATAGCATTGCAAAACACGTTGTCAAGCTATGCACAGAGGTAAATCCTAATATACTTACCTCAATAGAGCAAAACCCTTTTAAAGGACTTACTCTAAACAAAGATAAGTTTTACCAGTATCAACTTTGGAAAACTTATGTAGAAGGATTTAACTGGAATATTTCCAAAAAGGATATTTCATCCCTTTCCTACTGAAGTTAGTCCAGTTCTTGTAAGTCACTTTGAAAAAGAAAAGATTTTCAAAGAAATCTATGAAGAAACCAGTATCCATGGACAAGGAACTCCTGGAGCTTCATTTCCCTCTTATGCTGAGGAAATAAACTTCTCAGATCAGATGATTGAAGAAGGACTTGAAGACATATCTTCTGTATCAATTTCCAGAAGATGTTATTACACTTGAAGACATATCTTCTGCATCAGTTTCCAGAAGATATTCTTAGACTACTTATGACGTAAGCCCTTACGTCATACAATAATATCAAAAGATGACAAAAGTTAACAGCAGATAATGTATCTTGCTACCTTGTCATCGTTCCTCTACTGTTACATGTTGTTAGATCCTTTAAGCCTTACGTGTTAATGACGAAAAGATTGAACCAATCTTTTGATATAATAATAATAATAATAAATTTATTATTCAAATTTTTGTCTTTTAGTGAGAAAAGAAATCTTCTGTGAACTCCTCTCCCTTTTAGATAACTTCTCTTTTAAGTTTTTTTAAGACCCATAAGTCATAAAGTGAGTCCCACATATAAAATTTATTATTCAATATTTTATTATTTTTGTTTTCTATATAAGGACCTATAAACCCATTATGCTTGGCAAGAGTCCTTCCATCTCACTCCTCCCTCACTTCTCCTTCTCTCTACTTCTCCTTCCTGCTCTCTTATGTAAATCTTACATACAATCAATAAGAGAAACATATCCAACATCTTCCCTCTCCTTCTCTTTCCTCTCTCCCGAATAAGTTTTCTTTACTCTCCCTTTTATGAAATAGTTTTCTTATAAGGGCGTTCTCGGATACCTTAAGTGGTATTTATGAAAAGATGTGATAATCATTTAAAGGCTTACAAATTTTTGTATAGCTTTATTTTATGTTCATATAAACTTATGAGGAGATGTCTAACCGACTTTGCCAGATTCAGTCATCTCATAATCTTATTATGGACTTGTGTGTTTATTTTCTGTCTTTACTGTCCTGCCTTTATTTTCCATTCATGCATAAGTTTATGAGGAGATGTCTAACCGGCTCTGTCAGATTCAATCTTCTCATAATCTTATTTTGAACATTTTCTTATTATAACCAACTTTATCTCAGACAGTCATCATTTAAACTAGCTTGATTTCAGATTTTTTGTAAACTAAATAGTTATATTGACCTACAGAAGAAATAAAGAGTTATAACATATTTTGGTTTATTTCTTTTTTCTATCATGTCCCTCTTTTCCCCCTTTTGTTAAAGAGGTTTCAGAGCAATTTTTCCCATATTGAATTTTTCTATGCTACATGTCTCCTCTTCTTGGTATTTAACAAGTTATGTATTAGTTTTCCCCATATTGAATTTTTCTCTGCTACCTGTCTCCCCTTCTTGGTATTTAACAAGTTATATATTCACTCTTCCGTTCACAACTCCATCAAAATACTGGATTAATGGTCAAACTAATGGATCTGAGTTAAACTTAATATATAGACTGGTGTAACAGAAACATTAAAATGAATGTACATATATACTCTATTTTTGTTTAACCATCACCTTTGAGTTTCAAAGACCACGGTTCAATCTTGGTTTTACTTTTAATTTTTATATATTTCAATTGCTTAAACTGTTTCTTGATGGCATTATTGTTAAATTTTAAGATTTAATTGAATCAAAATAGAAAACTAAAAAATATATAAACAAAGATAAAATCAAAATTGTGTTTTTTTTATTAAAAAAAACGATAACCACACTTTTATTTGTCAATAATTATTAAAATTTTGATGAATTTTACTTATACATTACTGAAAACTAATAAATATTGAGAAATAAATATCACAAAATTTATATATTTGGCAAATTTTAATTGATAGTAAAATACTAAAAATAAAATATATGAATAGATATTACTATTTTTTTTTCAATTAAAAACTAAAATGATAATAAAAAAACAAAATCACATATCATAAATTTCAATTCTTGAATATTAACAACAACAAGAATCTTATTAGTGGGTGTATAAAAATTGAGTTTGAGGAGTGTTACCCTTTAGCTGAGTCTGCTTCAGCTTCAACGCCGAGGAAGAAGCCAACGATCCTGGAAGCCCAGAGAAGCTGTTCCACGTGTTTAGCGTACCATCGTACCCACGAGGACAGTTCCCAACACACGGGACTGCTCCTGTCGCGGAATTTCGAGAGATTAAGGTTGTTCCTGCCGCCGCCGCTGTACGGAAGCTGGTCCCTCATGATGAAACTGCCGCGCTTTATGACGTGGTGGACAGCGATGAGGCACTTGAGCGCTACGGCGGAGCTCTGGGTGCTCTGGAGGCGGTCCATGAGAAGCTCCACGGCAGCGGAGGCTGTGGCGCGTGAGCCTTCACCTGCAGAGAGTAGCGTGGAGAGGTGCTTGGAAGTGGAAGGGGTAAAGGAGTCGTGGCTGGTGGCGCGTAGGAGAGAGAGAGCGGCGCGTTTGGAGAGGATGGCGGCTTTGCCCTGCGAAGCTTTGTCCTTCATTATCCCAACCAGCTCTTTCAGTTTGGTCATACTAGTAGAGTTTTTGGAGCACACGCGTACACGCTAAGAAACTAAGGCTTCTTAATTTCTTCAAACCCAACAACTATATTATTGTTAGTGATAGATTATCTATTTATAACGTAGATATATATCATGGTTCAAACTTTTAACAAAAACTATTTAAGTGTTGCACCTATAATTGCTTTTTTGATGCAAAAGATAATGAAACTTTAGAGATTGTTTGTGTAAAACATTTGAGATAAAAAAAACTAATATTGCTTAAGCATGACTCAATTCATTGTCTTTCGCTAATTAGTCAAAAAGCTAGCAAGACTTGGGTTGGTTGGGTTACGTAGCTTTTGAAAAATTCCAGGTACTAAATATCTTAATTGGCCCCTTAAAAGTAATCACAACCACTAATTTAATCAACACCATGATCACTGAATATTGTAGAATAATCAAACGGATATTGATCAAATAATGATGCAATTATATATGTGTTAAGAAATGAAGTATGATGAAAATATAATTATTGTCATGATGAATGGATTTTTTTATTATTTTGTGTAAGAATTAATGCAAAATATATTTTGTAGTTAAAAAATGAATTACAAAAAAAGTATTTATTAATTTAGTATGGTGTGTGGAAATTAATCAACATCTCTCAAATTAAAATCATTAGTTAAATTACGTTTGAATTTTTATGATTGAACAATCTATAATTGACTAAATTTAAATAATGATTTACAGCATACCAAAAAAGCAAAGTCTGGTTCTCGAGAAAAAACTCGTATTTAATAAAATATAATTTTAATCTTTTCCCATAATAGATAAGTATCTTAGAAAAAGTTAAACTAATGAGACTAAAAATATGCCATAAATGTAATTTTTGTTAAATAATGGTGAAATTACACTTGCTATGGATTAAAAAATGATCAATAATGGAGATTCTACTGAATTAAAAATAATAATTAAAATTGATGACAAAAAATGAAATAAAATTATTTAAATCAATACACTTCGAGTTTGAATTTATTATTTGACTTGATGTGTAAATTGAAAATTTTATAACTGAAACTAAGCAAGGTCAAGGAATATGAGAGAATTGTGATGCATGGTATTTTATATGTCTGCATGTTCTTTGTGTCTTGCTCATAAGCATGATCACTACATCAACATCTTCATATTAAATCCTTATACTCAACTATTAATTGGCTTCAATTAAACCATGTAGAAATAGATTATATAATAAAATTTGTAATAAACTTGTGTGAAATTTATATAATAAAACCTTAATATATAAAATATAAATTATAAAACGATTTCACATTTTGCTAAAATAATATAAATTTTAATCCTAATTAAAAAATAACACAAAAAATGTGTATATCTTTTTTATAAGGTCTATAAATAATATAAACAAATAAAAATCAATATTAACGTCTGAAGTGGCTGAAAATTTGTAATGAAAAATATCCCAACTTACAACATCAGTCTATTTTGCTTTGTTTTCCGGTGACATTGGAAAATCTTCTCTCTGTCGTCGCCGCCGCCATGAAAGAAGGTGCAGGAACGCTGTCGGAAATTCACCAATCTGCGAAGAAACTTCTGCTTAGATCTCGTGACGGCCTCGAACGTCTTGAACGCCTCGAGTACTCTGCCACCGCCGGCATTGGCGCCGATGCAGAGCTGTCGTTCGCCGTTAAGAAGGATATCACTCAGGTCCAATCCCTCTGCGTCGAGATGGACCGCATCTGGCGATCTATTGCCGCAAAACCTCAACGCGATCTCTGGAAAAGGTGAACGATTTGAATCCCGATCTCGTTGAATTGATTGTTTTCATGAGGATATTGTGTGTTTCTGAGGAAATTGCTTCGATGATTTGTGCGTGTTGTTTCGTGCTGTGATTGTTGGAGTTCGGACATCACTTACCCACCCCTACCAATTACCATTATAAAAATCCATCATTTCCATTCAACTCTCGCACCTACTAGAACCCTAAACCCCTAATCCTTACCAATTCGATTCCACATAATCTCTTTTTTTTTTTTTTCATTTTGCTGCAAATCTCTCTCTGGTGACTCTCTCTCTCTCTCTCTCTCTCTCTCTCTCTCTCTCTCTCTCTCTCTCTCTCTCTCTCTCTATCTATCTATCTATATATATATATATATATATATATATATATATATATATATATATCCCTCGTTCAACCGCTAATCCAATCGAAATTTCTGGTGGCAAACTATAATCACAGCTCGCATTTTGAACTTGAGTCAAATGGGGGTTTATTTTTCACTTGAATTCAGTCCTTGCTATATGACGAAAATATTAAAAAATTTTAGTGAAATTAGGTTTTGTTTGAACAGAAATTTGTTAGCTGATACTCTTCTGGTCGCTACTTATGCTGATTGAAAAGTTCTAATTTATGTTTGGCGTATCATTTTAGTTGTGGTATTTTCTTTAGTTGCTTATTCTCTTTGCCAATAAGGATCTAGTGTTGATACTGGAAGGATACTTCTGATTTGCCATTCATGTTTACACTTTTTTACCGACTACTTTTATTTTGTTTAGGGCTTCGTTTTTAATTCTGCAAGAACTTTGATATGCTCAATGATCATTATTGCTGGGAGTTAGAAAATAGAAAAGGGTAATGTTGACACTCTCTGGTTCAATTCCTCTCTGCGTCAGTTCTGAACTGTTTTAAATTAGTTGTGAACCAAACTGGTTCTGAACCTGTTTTAAAACTGTTGTTTGAACCAAACCGGTTCTGAACTGGCTTGAAATCTGAACCATCTTGTGAACCATTAAAAACAGTTCTATCCTAAAACCAAACCAGATTAATAGGTTGGTTCAGTTCGGTTCTAAAACCGAACCACATTAACTGTGTGGTCTGGTTTTCCAGCCTTAACCAAACATGTTGAAAGATGAAAATCATTATTATTATGGGCATGCTTCGATCAGCCTGGCTCAAAAACTATACACCATTTTAATATAATCACTTTTATTTAAAGATGAATATAAGCATTTTTGTGGAAAATATTCATCAATTTAATCCTTCTCTGGGACTATAATTGATGTGAAAAGATGACTAAATTTCTTCATCTTTCAGGAATGAAAATGTTGATTTTCATCTTAAAATAAATGAGACGTTGCAAATGCTGCTAGCTGATCTATGCATGTTTTTATTAGTGCTATATTGGGTTCTTAAAATCAAGTAGCAAGTTTCATTTATTTGTGTTTTACAAGGATGAGCAATTTTGGTGAAGGGAAATCATTACTCTGTAAATTTACTCAGATATATGCTACCAGTTAGGACTTGTCAATTTATCGATGCTACAAATAATACGAACTTGAGTGAAGTATGTGCAATGTTTCTTAGCTTGTACTTCCATTTTTTCATTCTGTTCCAACAAGCTTAATGAACAATAACAGCATCTACATAATTTTTTTTTATCTTTGTTGCATTTCTAAGCAACACTCTTCTTTTCTCTAAATAAATGAGACAGGTGTACAGTATAATATTTAGTTTGTTTTGCCTCTCCCTCTGATTGAAAACTAAACCGTATTCTACTTTAAATCACTTATAATTGTACATACCATTTAACTGTTGAAATCTCAATATTTTGGACTATAATTTATATCAGAATTATTTTCCTTGACCTTTGCCGAAGATATGTTCTTTGGTTCTCGTTAACATCTATATTAGCTTCAGAATTTTTGGAGTCCCTAACAAAACAGTAATGGCAGGTTCTCTCAATTGTCTCAGTTATTTGGGTTAGTCGTGCAAAATGATTACACACATAACTAAATGCTATTTTTCATTTCTATAATACAAAAAAAATTATTTTTTCATTTGTCTCTTCTGTTTATATTTATGCTGTATATCATGGGTTCTGTTACTGGATTTGCAGTATTCTAGTTGAGCATTTTCATTAAAGTGTATTATGTTTTTCATATTCAGAAAAGTTGAACAAATCGCTGAAGAGGCTGAATCATTAAGAGAAAGTTTGGATAAATATAACTTACGGAATCAGAAACGGATGAGAGAAGCTAGGGAGAGAGCAGAACTGTTGGGACGAGCTGTATGTTGTTAGTTCCATGGTCTAGTTTAATGACTTAGTATTATTATTTGCTTATAATAACAACTTCATTTCAAATTGCTAGAATGGGGATTCTGCTCATGTTTTGAGAATTTTTGATGAGGAGGCCCAAGCATTACAGTCAGTTCGCACTTCTGCCCGGGAACTAGAAAATGCAAATGCAATTGGGGAGGCCATCCTTTCTTCAATACATGGTCAAAGAGAACGGTTGAAGGTAATTTCATTTCTGCTGAATGATAATAGCTGCATGGAAGGATGTGAGGATATGACATCATTTATATGCTACAGTTTAGGTTTAACTAGAATAATCTCTGATCATTGGTGACAGATTAGATATTATATCTGTTTTTAGGCTAAAAAAGTAGTTTCTCTACCAAACAAGTCTAGAAAATTGCTTAAATTGTTGTAGTTTCGCAGGCAGCGTCATTAGTTATATTAGTAGAATTAATTATATAAATTTCTGCTTCCTGTCTCTATTTATTGTTCTTTTCATGCCCTTTTTGTGTCAGCTGTTCACCTCTTAAACATGTACACTAGGTCATTAGTTACGTTAAATATAATCATACTTTTTGTCTCTATTTATCGTTAACGATATTTTATGTTTTATGGTTTTAATTTCTTAGTGCTAATTAGTGAAGCAGTATTAATGGCATCATCATATTGTTGTTGATATACCTTTTCATTTGGACATATATTTGGTGCAGAGTGCACATAGAAAAGCATTGGACATCCTCAATACAGTTGGGATATCAAACTCTGTTTTGAGGCTAATTGAGAGACGAAACCGAGTGGACCAATGGATCAAATATGTCGGAATGCTATTGACTGTCATTTTCCTGATCGCCTTTGTTTACTGGAGACACTGATCATTTTCAGAGGTTGAAAATTTGAAATGTCCATGTTTGAGAGAGCATATAAAAGTGAGATACGAACTATATGTGGCAGATATAACAGCTTGAGCATCATACACGAGGCTGTGTATAAATATTGTAACTGCTTACACACTAGTTATTTGACAAAAATTACATTTTAGGCTACTTTTGTTTTGCATTATTTGTTTTCCATATTATAATCCACTCTTCATGATAAAACAACTATATCTGACACTTTTAGTTTTAAAATTTAAATTCTAAATTCATTTTTTATGATAAAGATGACCTAGAAAAACCAAGTAATCGAAGAACATTAACAAAGAAGGAGAAAATTTAAGAATTCATGAGAAAAAGAGGAATTTCGATCTAATTTTTTTTATTCTCAAGAAAACAATGAGTTAAAAAGAAGAATTTGTTTTATCTAAATCACCTCCGTATTTATTTACTATTTATTTTATATAGTCAATTTCTAACTAATCAATTCCCTTTTCAAAAATAGAAATGTAACAACAGAAATATAATAGATTTTATAAACGGTGTTCAACTCCTATCTCTTTTCCTTCTTGTATCAATCCCCTATCTCTTTTCCTTCCTGTATGTTTAAGAAAATCCTTGCCATCAAGGACTAGAAACTTGAAAACTTCTTCAAATCAAAATAAAACTCTCATGTGGCATCATCTTCTAATTGATGTTTCCATTTAACAAGAACCTTAGTAACAACCTTATTCCCGCTCTTAACAGTCATACGATATAATATGTACACAGGTTCTTTCTGGACTGGATCAATGATAGGTTGAAGAGAATCCTGAGAAATAGAAGAATTCCCAACAAATTTCTTGAGCTGAGAAACATGAAACACTTTCTAAATTTGAGAACCTGGAGGAAGTCTTAGCTGATAAGCTACTGTACCCACTTTGTCTACCACCATAAAAGGTCTGAAATACTTGGGAGAAAGTTTGACATTGTTTCTGAAAGCCACAAATATTTGTCTGTAAGAGTGTAATTTTACTAGCACCAAATCTCCAATCTAAAATTCTCTGTCAAATCTGTGTCTATCAGCAAGCTGCTTCGTAACTTGCTGCAGGTGGAACTTGATCAATTTAAGCATCTCATCTCTCTTTTGCAAACTTCTATCCACCAGAGCTACTTTGGATTCTCCAGGAAGATAAGGTAAATGGAGAGGAGGTGACTGACCATACACAATTTCATAAAGACTAGCTTTAATGGTGTTGTGGTAAGAAGAATTGTACCACCATACAGCCAATGGAAGCTATTTGGACCAGTTAGAAACAAAATCTGTGCACATATATCTCAAATAAGTTTCAAGACACTTATTAACAATCTCAGTTTGTCCATCAGTCTGAGGGTGATAAGTTATAAACATCTGTTGTTGTATGCCTGCAAGGAAAGAAAGTCCTTCTAGAATTGACTGGTAAAAATGAGATCTCTATGACTTGTAATTGAAGCAGGAAATCCATGGAGTTTGAAGACATTGTCTAAGAAACAATAAGTTACATCAACGGCTGAAAAGGGGTGCGACAATGCCATAAAATGTGTTGCTTTACTCAATCTATCAATTGCCACAAAAATATTTTGCTTGCCAAATGAGTTAGGAAGACCTTCGATGAAATCCATAGTTAAATGTTACCAAACTTGTCCCGGAATCGGTAGTGGTTGTAATAAACCAGGAGATGCAGCAGTCTCATACTTGTTAGTTTAACAAGCGACACACTGAGCAACAAATCTTTTGACATCCTTTGACATCCCTTTCTAATCAACCATAGGTTTCAATCTCTGGAATGTAGCATCTCTCCCTGAATGACCTCCAGTAGCAGAACCATGCACCCAAACAAGTATTTCTTGTCGTAACTCGCCATTATTACCTACCACCAGCCTGTGTTTTCTTCTTAACTTATCTTTCTCCCATGAGTAATGCTTGTGTGAAATAGGGTTTAGTGTGATGTCTGAAATGATCTTCTGCAGGATTAAATCATTAGACCAAGATTGCTTAATTTTGGCCAACATGTATGAATCAAGTTCCATGCTCAATATAGTATTGCACTCCATTGACTCCCTTCTGGACAAAGCATTTGCTGCAACATTCTCTTTACCTTATCTATATTCAATATCAAAGTTAAACTCCATAAATTTTACCAACCATCTTTGCTGAAATGCAGTACTTAATCTTTGGTCCAGTATATAATTTAGACTCCTATGATCAGTCTTTATGAGAAATTTTCTATTGAGCAAATAGTGTCTCCATTTTTAGACTACAAACACGACAACCAAGAGCTCCTTCTCATACGTGGATAGAGACTGTTGTTGCTTGTTTAAGCATCTACTGATATAAGCAATTTGATGCTAATTCTGCATCAAAACAACACCTAATCCTTGTCCAAATGCATCCACCTCAAGTACAAATTGTTGAGAAAAATCAAGCATGGCTAAAGCTGGTGCATGGACCAGTTGCTGTTTAAGCTGTTGAAATGTTTCTTTTGCCTAAGGAGTCCAAGAGAAATTATCCTTCTTCAATATTTCTGTCAATGGCCTAATAATAGTACCATACCTGTAAACAAATCTTCTATAGTAACCGACTAGACCCAAAAAACTTCTCAGTTGCTTCAAGGTTTGAGGGAGAAGTCATTGTTGCACAACTTCAACCTTTGCAGGATTTGTAGCAATACCATCTTTAGAAAGGAAATGACCCAAATACTCTACTTTATCCACACTAAAGTAACGCTTAGATTTTTTGGTAAATAAGTTGTGGTTCTTCATTGTCTCCAAAACTTGCTAAAGATGACTGATATGATCAAGGAGAGTCTTGTTGTATACTAGGATGTCATAAAAAAACACTAGTAAAAACTAGGCCTGAAAAACTGAGTTCATTGAGCCCTGGAATGTTGTAGGTGCATTTGTAAACCCAAAGGGCATAAGTGGCATTCATGAGTCTTGAATGTTGTCTTATAGATGTCAGCCTCATTCATTCGTACTTGGTTATAGTCAGATCTGAGATCAATCTTAGAAAATATAGTTGATCCATGCAATTCATCCATCAAATCCTCCACCAACGGAATTGGGAATTTTTTCTTAACAATTCCTTTGTTTAAGTATCTGTAATCCACACAAAGTCTCCAAGATGCATCTTTCTTTCCTACCAAAACTACAGGGCTTGCATAAGGACTATTGCTAAGTTGAATAACTTCAGTTTTAAGGTATTCCTGTATTAGACCATCAATAATATCCTTTTTCTGCTTTGCATAAGGGTCTCTTATTGACAGGGTTAACTCCTTGTGTTAAAGGGATTTTGTGATCATGGTCAGGTTTGTTAGGTCGTGGTAACTTAGCAGGTATTTCAAACACATCCTTGTAATCATCCAACAGTTTCTGAATGTCATGGTGTAGGGGTAGTTGGGTGGCATGAGTAGTTAGAGAATACAACAAAGAATTTGCATCGGAGTTCGCAAGGCTTATATGGATAAATGAACACCACAAGACAAGGTCTTGTGTAACTGTTGTTTCCTAATTGTTTGTAGCCCTGTACTTTTACATAAAATTCCATAGTCAACTTATTAAAATTCCAGGTTATATCACCTAAGGTCACCAATCATTCAATCCCCAATACTAAATCACAACGGCTCAAAGGAAATATCATCATATCAGAAATAAAAGTTGTGTTTTGGATGGACCATTTGAAATTCTTAACCATATTAAAGACTTGAACCTTATTTCCATCAGTAACAGTAACAACTATAAGTTGCATGACCTCCAATCTGCATCCCATCCTCTTAGTTGTTGTCTCATCGAGAAAGTTATGTGTACTTCCACTGTCAATTAGGATGTGCAATGGTCTTTTTTTTGTGTTGTCCAGTCACCTTGTTCTAAAACTAGCTACTTTAGTCAAAGCATGGACAAATATTAATGGTTCTGTTTGATAATCTCCCTCCTCTTCACTAATAGAATTTTCTGAAATCTGTAGAGCAACATCTTCCTCAACTTCCAACACATAAATTTGGAGCTTCTTGTGTTTCAAGTTGTGCTCTGATGTGAAGGGTTCCTCACAGAAATAGCACAACCCTTTAGACCTTCTTTCAGCCATATATTTAGGTGTTAAATATCTAGTGGTTTGTGTTTTGTGCAGAGGATTTTTGCGAGGGAAAATGCTGAATCTGGCTGAAACATCCTGACAACCATTTGCACCTATTGTTTCAGTCCTCCAAGAAAACAGTTCAATTGGTGTTCTTTAGACAATTCAACCCTGGAGACTATTGCATCAAAAGTCTCATGATATTCTAACACAGTCCCTTTATGCCTTAGTTTCATTAGTTTCGCCATAGGGTCCTCACGTACCGCACCAAATCTATCCAACAAAATCCGAGTAAATTCCTGCTAAGAAGGTAAATTCCTTATCTCCACCAATTTGACATATGCAGAATATCACTATAGTACATTACCCTCAAAATGCACAACCGCCACTTTTATATTATAATTCTCAAGTGTATTATCAATCAAAAAGAACTTTTCACATTAAATTAACCATTGTTGTATTCCCTCACCACTGAATCTTAGAACATCTAAACAAGAGCCAAACGAGTAATACACGAGTAAGAATAAGATTTGTCACCTCGAAGTGTTTGAAAATGCTCCAAAGAGTGTTGCTGAAACATTTCTTGAAGATAGTTGTTAAGACTCGTTGCTAACTCCACGAACCTCCCATCAAGTTGCTGAAATTGTCTCCATTTTTGCAGTGAGACTATCTTTAACCTCACAAATCGGCATTTGATTTATGCTATTCTCCGCCATAAATTTTTGAAGGAATGTTTACTACTCGATAAGGATCAACTAGAAAAGACAAACAATTGAAGAACAACAATAAAGAAGGAAATTCACATGAAAAGAAGAAATTCTGATCCAATTTTTATTATTCTAGAGAAAACAATGAGTTACATAGAAAAATTTAGTTTTATCTTAATCACCCTAATAACTATTTACAAGTT